TTAGTAGGATTGAGCCAACTGACAGGAAGCCCTGGGACTGAATTTCTTCCTTGTTGGCGCTGCAGATGGTGATGCTACCACTGATCTATTCTGGCTGCTATTGACATGCGGTACGACTGGAATAAATACATTGGTTGGTCATTGGGGAGAAAACAGTTTCATGCTGTCCACTCCTCATTGCCGACTGAATTTCTATCGATCATTTTGCAATGAAGCCAACAAGTTAGTAGACTCAAAATTCTGATACACAGGAGGTCAGTTGCTATCCGAGTAAGTCAGTTGTAGAATCATTGACTGCAGCCCTAAGTGAAGCTGGTTTGGATTTCGCAGGCCACATCGGTCTCGTTGAGGTTGTAGATACGCCTTACTGATGACTGCTGACAAACGATAAACTTAAGTTCAGAGCTTCCTGCTAATTGGCTCCATCTAACTAACATCAATCAAAGTGTACCGCGATGGAGAATAAGTCTCCTAGTTTAGTGACCGTACTGCAAACTGATTGGCAGAATTCGGTTAGCACTGAAGACTGGACAACAACGATTCGCATACTGGCGAATGGCGAGTGGCCAGTCAAAGTAATTTATTAGTTATATTTCCTAAGCATATTTTTCTTTCTGTCAGCAGTTCGGCATATTCTGATTGTTACCGGTTAAATAACATATTCGAAAACTGCTAACAAAAGTAAAATATACCTAAGTGGATATAGAGAGTTGACAAAGTGTCTGGATTTGAGCACTTCCACTAATTAGGGTTATTTATATGTAAGCGAAATTCGATGTTACTCAGTTTTAATCAGTCCAGGCTTAATTATGTTACTGTGACCATTATGTATATATATATATATATATATATATATATATATATATATATATATATATATTATTGGTTCATTTGGTATGTCTGGGATACAGTGATAGTTTTATTTACTTGGTGATGTTTCCAGCATACATAAAATACTCCTCAAAATCATATCAAACTAAGTAATCATACAGCTTTCAACATCTGACTTTCACAGTCCTATCACCCATCTCATATTTTTTACCTCTACCGGTAGTAAAATTCTGCATATCTCTGGTATGCCTATTCCCCCATTCCTATTACATGTGATGGGTGTTGGTTCAATGAACAAAGATTCAGTAATCAATCACTCTCCACATTCATCTAACTATATTGAACTTAATTACATTGGTTTCATCCCACCGTATTGCCTGGTGGTTGTATGTCCATTTGGCTAAATTCTTATGTTCCACTAATCTACCTGACACCCGTCAGCTAGTTTCACGTATGAACTTGATCTCACAGTCATTACATGGAATTCGATACATTATTTTGCTGAATTGGATCAATGGGATTATTAAGCCGACAAAACTTATATCTGAGTCAGTTTGTAGGCTTAAATGCTATCCTAATTCAAGCCTTGTTGACAATTCTACGTAAACTTTCTTATGTTCCTTCCGAATATGATAACACAATAGAGCCTTTGAAGTTATTTTTACTCGTTGTGTCCTTATCATTCGTTTTCATATAACTGTTATCATTTTGTTTATGTGTTCGTACGAATTTCTCAATAAACAGCAGATGCGAATTGTTAATTATTAACTATTAACGCATCTTTTATGTGTTTCAATTCCTTGTTTAGATCCTTACAATGACTAGTGAGCTTTTTAGCTATGTCATTTATACATCTGACTAAACTCGCCTTAACTGACATTATATGAGATAACTTGAAGTCTAGATATCTGTTAGAGTGTATGGGTTTCCTGTAGACGGTAGCATCCAAACCACCATCTTTCCTTCGTTGTATCCAACATACAATCCAATATGTGTAATTCTGCTTGTTCATCTTCTACCTCGTAAGTGAATTAGATTGTGCCTACTACTGAGTTTAAATGCATGAGGAAAGTGTTGACATGTTCCGATTTCAACACAATAAATGTATCATCCAAATATCATAACCATATCTTAGGTGCAGGATTAAACATTTGTAGAACCACATTTTCCCAACTATCCACAAATATATCTGCTACAATATTGGCGATATTGGTGGTCGCATTGCTACTCAATCTATTTGTCTATATATTTTGTCCTGAAACTTGAAAACTGAAGAGGTTAGGCACATCTGTACGCTTAATATGATGACATTGGGTGGCGGTTGCGCTATATCGTGAGCTAAGAAAAGTTGGAAATATGGAGCATTGGATTCTGACTCAGTGGCTCAATGGTAACGCGCTGGCCGCAGAACCTGAAGGTCACGGGTTCGATCCCTGCTGGTGGGGTCGTGGGAGCGCACTGCTGAGGAGTCCCATACTAGTTGGACGAAACAGCTGTCGAGTGCTCCCAGGTTTCCTTTGTTCCTCCAACTGATGTCAGTCTACGATGAATAACAACTTGAAATATTTCCAAATCTCCACAACTCCCTCAAAATTTACTATGTTGTCATTTCTCAGATTAGTCTAAGCTAAATTTTTAGGTTTTGTTGTCTTCCTTTTTTTTCTGACAGTATTTTATCATTGGTAAAAGTTTCACGTGATTAGTATTCAATTATAATTATCTCATACAGTATGTGTTGGAGATTATTTCTTTTTTCACTTTGTGATTTACCTAAGTTATATTAGCATAAATTTCAGTATGTTTGAAATATGTAATTCCAATGTTTTGAACGGAAGTCCAGTCCATTGTTCTTCAGAGAAATAATCAAAATCTATATGATCCTAGATATATGTAATCGGTCAAAATCGTGTATGGATTTGGATTGTTTTTCAATATGGTGATTAATCATTCACTGTGCATTGATTGATGTATATTGATGCATGAGTGTAAGCCTGTGTGTGTGTGTACGCATGTGCATTTGTTGCAGAAGCTCAAACTAGACTCCTTTACGAAATGTCTAAATTTTTTTATTTTTAACACGAGATTTATATAAATATGACTTGCATCTAATTTCAACTTTTCACTACGTTCCCAATATTTCTAAAATTATCCAATCAAATGTTGACCAAGATTCATCTGAATAGCTGTTTCATTCTACTTTAGGACTTCGTAACATTGCACATCTATTACTTCTGCAAGAAAACAAGCCAGAGTTTCTCAAATTCATTGGTGAACTCTTCTTTATTCAGTCATTGCATTAGAAGTCATTAGCTCATAATTTTAATTTCCATCACTTTGCAGTATAGCATGAACTTCACCCAGTGTCATTTGATGACATCACCTCACTTCCAACTTAGCTAACAATACAAGCTACAGAATTTCACATCAATGTATCAAGAAATCCAGCTTGAAGAGAACTATTTTGTGAATTGAAAGATGCTGGAAAATGTAGGCAGTTGAATACTAATGCACTGGCTTAATAGTAAGTCAGTCACCATAAGAAAGGATATTCGTAGGTTTGATCTCTTGTGGGGTCAAGAATTCTCATTGGTAATGAATCACAAAGTAGGATGAAGCATCTATCCGATGCTTTCTTGTTTTCAATAGTTCTCCAAGTGATTTCAGTGCACAATGAATACCAACTTAACTTCATTTATTACTTTATTAATTAAAATACTTAGTTGAATACCAGAACTACTTAGAAAAGAAGCAACTTGTATAGAAATGAATGAACGCTATTAAAACAAAAGATCAGTTTTTTGCGTAACTGTTAAGACACTAAGAAGAGTTCAGACATACAGTTTTTTCAACCTTCTGACTCTAATTCTCTGTGTATTTCCATAAAACAGTGTTGTGGTTGTATTGAGTGGACTATTTTTCAAGCCAGTTTAAATCTTGCTATTTGATCAACAGTTGAACAGTAGTAACAACAGTCATAGAATAATCAAATTAAGTAGTATAGTTTAAATTACCTGAAGGTCTACAGGTGAAAATTAACAAGTTGATTGAAGAGTCGGGGCAGACAAAACGGGACTTCGAGTGAATGTAGAGAAGACGGAGGTGATGAAGACACCCAACGAACAGCAACATCAACAACAAACACCAATCACCATCAACGAGAGAAACCTAAACGAAGTTGTCTCTTTCACTTACCTAGGGAAGGCAGCATCCTTCCAACTACAGGCGTCACAGGCACAGACGAGGATATCAAAACCAGGATCAGAAAAGCAAGACAGGTTTTCACTAACCTGAAATCAGTGTGGAGACCTACTGCACTCAGCATAAAGCGCGAACAATGTCCGCATTTTTAACACTAAGTTAATCAAGTCAATGCTTCTGTATGGTTCAGAAACTTGGCATGCCACGAAAAGCACTTCTAACAAACTGCAGACATTCATCAACAGCTGCCGCCCACGCTCGCTGGATACTGAAGATCAGATGGTCAGAATAATAGGAATAAACAACAACGAACTGTGGTTGTCAACGTATCAACCAAGAACTAATCACCCGACAAATATGCAGAAGAAGAAAGTGGAGATGGATTGGATTGGACATAGACTGAGAAGAGTGTTTGGGGACATTATGTACCAAACCCTCGAGTGGAAACCAAAGGGGAAAAGACGAGTTGGTCGTCCGAGCTGAGGGTGACATGGACGAGATCATATGAAAAAGAAATGAAAGATAGTGGGCAGTGGTGAAGTGAGGTTCAAAAGACTGGAGAGAACAGACTGCAATGGAGATGTGCTACTGAAGCCCTGTGTTCAACTAGGAATCCAAGGGGAAAATAATTTTGTACCTAAGGGAGAAATCTTGATCAAGTTATGCAGTTAATAATATGGCTAAAAAACACTATGTATTTTTTGATTTGATAACTTCTGCGTTAACCTATCCATGTAATACATCCCATGTATAATACAATGGGCATATATTCCAACAGACTCCTTACTTATCGTTACTATTACTATCATTATTATTACTATTACTCGTTGTATAAGGTGTGTTTTTACTTGCGTAAACCTGGCGTAGTATATCAAAACAAGAAACAAAATAAGTAAATATTTTGTAAGAAATGTTTCATGAATTGAACAAGCAGATAAATAGCGACTGGTATGTAAATATGGTTGACTAACCTTCAATATCTACTTTCTGTACGACTCGAGCCTCAGAAATAGGCATACCGCCTAAATTTAAACGTATTTGGGGCGCTGGTTTTCCAGCACGCGCTTTGCATTCAACATAAGTTGGTTGACCAACACTTAGAGAAGTTTCATTATCTATGTGTAACTGAAGTTCTCTGATTGGATCTATTCAAGAAGGCAAATATAGTGATAATGAGATCATATGTAATAAATGGAATTAATCCTAATGAGAAACTTTTTATCACAGCATAGGGTAAGATCTTCAGTCAGTAAGTTATTAGTTAGTACATTAATTTTTGAAGGTGATTTCATTACTGTTTACATTATTATGATTAAATAAAGAGGTTCTACATTGATTATAATTGTTGTTTGTTTAAATAAATTGCCACTTCCCTAAATAAAGCATCATTTCAGTAATAAAAACAACAATTTTCATCATGTCATTCTATTGATGTTGTTGAAAAGTTTTAGACTGCTTCAAGATCATGTTAACTACAGATTACCCTTAGATGTTAATACTTGGCTGATCGTATTCAGAATTGTAACACTGATCCTATATGTGGTATTACTAGAAACGTGTACTCTATGATTTTTGTTATTGAAAACAAAACAAAAATGTACAACAATAATTTGCAGATGATAATCACTTGACACAAATATTTTAAATATGACGTAATTCATGCTACAAAATGGATGATGTTGTGTTTGTATCAATACAATGAACAGCTTTGAGATAGCTTCTAGTAGCCATCATTTACTATTAACACTTCAGAGAGTCGACTTACGACTGGCTGTTCTATATCACCTAAAATCAATTTCAGATAAGTGATAAACTCAATCAAAACATTAGTTATAAAACTAGTGATGTAAATAGAAATTATTGTCTCCATTTACTTGGTTTTTTTTCTTAGAACAAAGTTGCAAAAACTGAATATCGACTTTCTGCAATAAATCATTAGTAGAAAATGAAAAAAATATACGATACATAGGGAAACATTTGTTTCTGAATAGGAATTTAAAACAAGTAACCAGTATTATAAGATCAGGATTTACTGAATCCATATATTTAAATAGGACTCGTCACTCTTTTACTCTACATTCATGAATTTGTATACTCCCATTACTGACTGAACTGAAGATCCTGCACAGCTGTATTATGATGTATCTGATACGTTAAGTACATGAGACTGACATTACTAAGGCCTTCAGGATTGTTAACTGACAACAAGGCAATGCTTTCGATTGTGGAAGCTTGTCCAATCAGGGTTCGTAAATCGAGCCTATATGGTCAAAAGGAGATGATAATCATCCTGAATCTACCATGCCAGAGAGATTGGTGTACTGTAAACATATTTATTAGCCCTTTTTTTCTTTTTCTTAGTGTATTCATCATGCTGATTCTGTCCTTCTGTCGTTTCTTATTCATCTTCTTTATTTGCTAGACAAATACTTTACCACTATTGTTATCAATATTATCCCTATTACTATCACTATTGCTCAACTAACATTCTAGCCTTCTTAAGTTTTACACTGTTAACAAGCTTCTTCTTGATTGGTGTTCATTTGATGTGTTCAAAATGATGTAATGTTTCATCTTTTCAACTTTCACTACCAATTTGATCATTACTATTATGCCTATCACTGTGATAATCAACATTTTATCCACCCTGAAACTTAAAGCTTTTTTGGTTATGGATTGTTATCAAACTACCCAGTTGACTGTTTACTGTTCTACTCAAAATGACGTAATTCATTCTTAGCCTTGGTAATCTTTATCATTAATTTATTTCTCACGCACACAGCCTCCTGTTCCCCTCCACCACTACAACCTATTCACAGTTCTGTTTCACTTGATTTAATTATTCACTCTAAGTCAGTGTTTCTAATTCAGTGTCTAAGTTTGCATTATGTGTATAATAATTGTTCACGGGGGTGCAACTAATTTCATGCTGTCTAGTCCCGAGTGCAGACCGAATCTTATCGATCATATTTGCAATGTGCCAACCAAGCTAGGAAGCTCAGCATCGCGGTGCACATTGATAGATGTCAGTTGGTTGGAGGCAACCGGCAGGAAGCACTAAACCTGGTTGCGATTCGGTCTGCATTCAGGACTAGACAACATGAAATTGGTTGCACTCCCGTGACCAGTCAATACATGTAAGCCAATCCTACAGGAGGTGAGTCGCGGCCCGAATAGCTCAGTAGTAAAGCCGCTGACTACAACACTGGATGACGCGGGTTCAAATCTCAGCAGGGTTTCCTGCCGATTGCCTTCAACCAAATAGCATTATGTGTATGCTTGCATTGCATAACACTACACATAGAATCATGTATGTAATTCAAATGAAAAGCTGATGAGTTCTACTGAGATTTATGAAGTCAATAAACTCTGCTTTAATTACGTTGGTCTTCTGATTTAAACTTACTAACATTAGTGAAGAAGTGATTGAGTATTGACGTAGGAATTATCTTAAGACTATGTTAGAATTAATCATGTAATGTGCATAAGATCGAAATCTTTTCGCTGCCTGCAGCGAAGAAAAATTTTACCTTTCGATGAAGTCATTTATTAAGTTGTACATTCGTGAATATATGTTACAGTAGGGAGAGCATTCCCGAATTACTTCCAGTTAGGGGGCAAATTATATTGAGTTACTTAAGAGAGTTGATTAATACACATTTAAGTTTAGAGTGGGAAGATGGACAAGGGATTATGAAATTGAATGAAATTATGCAATACAGGATGAATGTATGGCAAAGTAGGAAAATGAATGAAGGGTTATCAAACAAAATTTTGAAACGTGGCCACGAACACTACTCAACCTGGCTGGCAAAGGGAGGAAGGAAATATGTCTTCAGTTTCATAACAGAACACCTCATGAACTCAGGCCACTTAGTTCCTTTACAGAGCCCATTCAAAATTCTCAGTACGGTTCGATCAAACCACTCGAAGGGAGTAAGATTAAGGCATTTGTTTATAGGTGAAGCATTAGCCATTCAGAAGTTGAAACCAGTGTTATGCGTCCAATAAAGGTATGTCAAACCTTTATCTTTGACATGGTCATCATAAAGCTTTGACTGTCATAGATTCATTTTGTATTAGGCAATTATATATGTATTTCCCTCATCCCTTGTTTATTTTCCTACTGTGTTTCAGATTTAACCTGCATTACATAGTTACAATGTTATTTTCATGGTCCCCTGTTTATTTTCCTACTCTGTCATAGGTTTATCCGTTATTACATAATCACAGTTTTATTTTCATAACCCTCCATTCATTTTCCTACTTTGCCATACATTCATCCTGTATTTCATAATTTCATTCAATTTCATAATCCCTTGTCTATCTTCCCACTCTAAACTCAAATGTGTATTAATCAACTTTCTTTAGTAATTCAATATAATTTGCCCCCTAACCGGAAGTAATTCGGGGACGCTGTGCCACTGTAACATATATTCACGAATGTATAGCTTAATAAATGACTTCGTCGAGAAGAAAAAATTTTCTCTTCGCTGCAACCACGTCTTGTCTTTCCCGATGATCAAATGGGTGTATTCCTCTGCTTTTTCGAAAGCAGAAATTTACATGGTCTGATTGTTAATGTATAGTGACGTCTATTATACGTTTAGCAAACAGAATAATTAATATAGTTTCCAAGTAAAAGGTTTACTCTTGAAGATAATTAATATAGTTTACGATACCTGAATACTGGTAATACCGAAAACCGGTGAACACAAAAACCTATTTCTGTCTGTTTTCTCCTCAATATTGTTTATGTTCGAAGGTCAAGCTGTCGTCAGACAAGCTAATAAGTCAGTGTAGAAGCTTGCACAGAAATGCATCAGTTAAATCGCAACAGTTTACAGTAGTAATAGTAGTAGTAGTACACAGTGAAGAAGTGAACGAAGAAAGATGCTAAAAATCAATAAATTGTAGGAGAGAAGAGAGGGGCTGATAAAATGTTCAAGAATTGGACGGTAAAGCATGTACATGTGTACAACTGTGACCTATCTTGATGCATATTAGTAACAGACTCCTGTGTTATGTACGAAAGATACCACTCAGGTAGCCTGTGAAAATCAGATTGCCAAGGAGAAGCATTATGGTTTAGTGCCTCATTTTTGCCTAATCACCTTAGGTCTCTTTAAACTTTATGCTACTTCTGAGTACATAACTGATATGAGTCGCCTAAGGATGTGGAAATTCTCGTTGCTTGGCACACTGTTACACAATATACTGGTGCTCATTCAAGCAGTGTGATTTCTCACCAATGCCTTCAGGAGTATAAATATCTAGATGCAAAACGAACCTTTTGTATCCCACGTCAGAATAATTTATCAGCTCTACAATGGAAGCTGAGGTAACTTTCTAGGTATGTGAAGAGATGGACATCACTGAAGGAATAGCCATCAATCAACATTACTTTAAAAAACAAATCTTTGCACAAACATTTTACAAAAGTCTCTGAATTAGATCAGCATTGTTTTGTAGAATTTAATCATTCATTATTTTTTTTTTACAAATATGCAGCCATAATATTGCTCGATGAACATGAAGTAATGTCTTGAGCATGATACTCTGTTAATTAAGTCACTACATGTTCGAAAATAAACGAGATAAATTCTGATAGCAGCTGTCAGTTTAACTTTAATTTGACCACTTCATTATTCAGCTTTGAGCAGGTAAATTGATTTCGAAATAGTACTCTTCTTAGACTGACAACAGTTAGAGAATCACTAAAGACCTGAGAGCACTGGAAACTTGTCTTGTCCCAGTATGCGACTCGTCATCACATCACACACAAAATCCTGGCAGGAACCAAATTTAGGACCATCATGTCTCACAGTCAGCACATCATTACATGGTCACTGAGTTGGAATCCATTGGCTTACATTTTCTTATTTCCTCATGTCAACTCAAGATATAGCGCGACCTTCATCCAATGAAACTACTGAGTTTTGTCCTCACAAAAGACTTGATTAACACTAGAAGTTCAGGTTTCTAATTAGCGCTTCAAGAAATCCACCTATAAGCATCCCACTATGAGCATTAGATAGAAAGAATTACTGAATGTTAATTCAGTGGATGAATGGCAACAAACTAACCACGTGACATGGTGGTCAAAGTTTTGATCCCTGGAGGGGTCTTAGGTACGCATTGTCGAGATGTTCCACAATAATATGAAGCAGCTATCCAGTGCCACAAAGTTTTCAGTGACTCTCTAAATGATATCAGTCCACGACAGATATTTGCATGAACCCTAAAAAATGGAGTCTCATGGTTCAATATTAGAATCAAATTGAACCTGTTATATCGGTCGAAAAGTAGAAAACGAATTTCAAGCAAGTATTATCGATGGTATTATTTCGTTTACTTTAAAAGTTATTTAATTTATCTATTTTGTAACATTATTGTATAGCTCAACTAAAGAGCTTTCGACTGACTCCTCATACTTTTCTGTATGACTTGTAGGAGGACTTTAAAGGCCACCCTAGCTACGGTCGAAATAACCAATAAGATATCTCTGATGAAAATCTGCCTTTCCAGCCGAAATAGACAAACCTAATTAGTTATTTCAAACTTTGCTAGGGTAGCCTTAAAAATCACTGCAGTTTAAAGTCACCCAGTGGTCCGGTGTTCAAGGAATATACCAACAATCAGCGCTAGATTTTATGTGCTGTCTTAAGCCTTTTTGGAGAGCCAAATCGAGTGACTCAGTTTGTGTGTAAACTGAATGTACGAGAAGTGAAAAGTATGGAGTGAATTTAAAGGCGATTTTAAAGTCGGATGACTGTGATGACCACCCTAGCAATAACTGAAATAACTAATCAAACTTCTCTATTTTATAAAAATTCACCTTTCTGTCCGTATTACCGAAACCTGATTGGTTATTTTAGATGTTGCTAGGATGGCCTGTGAAGTCACTCCATATATCTAATACGAATTAGAATTTCAGTGCAATGTGAAAATTAATAACTTGGACTTCATCATTTATGCTCTACAGCGGCATCTATAATAAATTGGTTGGTTTGTTGAAGATGCCATGTACAATGTCTTTGAAGTCTGTTTTGTGCTTGCTATGATTTTCAAAATAGATTATTTTGTCAAGAAGAAAGAAATTTAATAGAAGAAACTAACTTAGATGGTCGAATATGTGCTTGCTGCGTCCCCTGTAAGTGACGTACACTACAAATGATCTCTTATAGGACTGAAAGTTCCACGACTAAACAACACATCTCAGAGAACACAATACAACCAAGACGTGATTACTCTTGTTGACTGTTTACTGGATGGCTACTGAAGGCACTTTTCAAAAGTAAGATGGGGAATGTTTAGATTACATAGTAGACATAGGTTTTTTTTGCGTAAAATATTCATGTACACCATTTCAGATGAAGGTTACCATTCTATTGGCTTATTCTGGCCTTTAAAGTCACCCGCTATTTTTCAAACGTATCAATAATTACTTTGAGGGTCACCCAGGAACAACTCAAATAGCCAATCAGACTTCTCTATTTTATGAAAGCATGCATTCCCAACCAAAATGGAGAAACCTAATTGGTTTTTTCCGTCCTTGCTAGGGTCACCTCTGAAATCACCCGTATGTCATTGAGTGACCTTAAAGACTACCGTAGCAACTAATGAGACAGTCAACTACATTCTTTTAGTTTATGAAAAAGTATTTTCCCAGGTGAAGTACCGAAGCCTGATTGGCCATTTCAGCAGTTGCTAGGGTGGCCTTTAAAGTCACCCAAAATAGCTTTACCAGTTACTAGATAAAAACACAGGTATAACTCTAACTAGTTAATAAATAACCCTATTGTTATCAGTAGTATATGAGTCCTTGAGACAACTGAATGACTTTCATTGCATTAGTATTTCAGTGGAAGTTTTTATTTGATCATAACTCTATTTTCTGTTTATCAATGTCAATTAATTTTTATGATGTAATTTACCCTTTCTTTCATTTGACTATCTTTAGCTGATACTGAATTGAATAAATATAAAATAGTTTTATTCTTTTTATTGTGTAAAAGAGATGATTAATCTTACAAGAAGAAAATCAGTTGATCATGCATCGTTTTAAAGTCTCTGTAGAAAGCTATCAGTAACGATTAAGTAATTTAATCCTAAAATTTGGATAATGTAATTAGAGGACGTAGATTATCTGAAAAAATGTGATGTATTAGCGCTACACATTTCCAAGACTCTGATCCCCCACACATTTACCTGTCAAGTCAATTTGTATATGAAAACTGGTAGTGGGGGAATGACAACTTTGACATAAAGGAATTCAATAATAAGAAGGATAATGAGAGGAAAAAAATTATAAGATTTGAAGACAATCTTGATGATATGATAAAATAAGCATTACCAAGGTAGGCTGAATGTTAAGGACAAACATACAATGGGGGTTAAATTTATTTATGGCTAGAACCTCAACAAACTTAAGTATACGCCCCTGACATTTTCTGTAATAAATTGTAAAGGCTGTTTTGATATCAATCCTGTGACTCTTATCAATGATATGTTTCGCAATGGATGATGATGATTGTCTGCCATCTGCGCTTATCAATGTTTGTGAATCCAGCTGCTTTCGTAGCCATTTTGGAACATGTTCCCCTACCCTCAGGTGCATATCACGATTCGTTCTCCCTATGTGTGTTTGTCCACACACACATGTAAATTTATAAACACAGTAGGATGTGACGCGATCGTTTATACAGCGTTGAGGTCTAGGTAGCAGCAGGTGTTTGGTCTTGTCAACTACGATAAGCTTAGCTGCATAGTACGTTTCGCTAACAGGAGACCTTAACCTATGTTTTAATATTATGCTATTAGATTCTCCTCTGTATGGTAACGTGACGTAAACGCATTTCTTCGAAACAGAGTGCAGATTAAGTTTGAATCCTTATTGATTTTCGCAGCAGTTTATGAACTTCAATGGATATGCATTTTCCACCAATGTTCCCGTTAGCATTTTGATATCATCATCCATTGAGTCTTCCGTACAAATACTCTGGATCCTATTAAATAGACAAGTTACCAAACCTCACTTGTATTGGGTTGGACAAAAGCTATGGGAACTTAAATACTGACCTGTCCAAGTAGGTTTCCAGTAGATCCATCGTTTTATTGAACCATCATTTCTACGACTTAGGAGTATATCCAAGAATGGCAGACAGTTTTCTTTCTCTTCTTCACATATCAGGCTTATGTTGTTTTGTATGATGTTAAGTCCTTCTAACAAACATGTCGCATCTTCATGCTTATCACATATCACGATTATATCATCAACATATCTTTTATAGAGAGTAACTTTATTGATGAGATCTCCGGTCAAGCCTACAATGTGTGACGTGTAACCCTAATAGTCAGTTTCTGAGTGTCGTATCTGGAGAGTAGTTGAAGTATCAAATTGACTTGCTATCGCTTTGATATACTTTCAGTATTTTAGCTGTAAAACTTCTAAACTCATTCGTTATCTTATACTGTTCTTTGTGTATCGAAGAGTTAGAAAACAGTAGAATTTTTTCCAGACTTTAGGATAGCTTCCTCCATTTGATGTAGTTGATACCAGTTAGTTAAAAAAAATACAGTTCTTAGTAGTATTGAAAGAAGTAAAAGACAGGTATGCAGGAAGGAATGCCCATTGTCAACAAGTGGGACAGTAGCCGTTAAATATAGTACACTTTGCACTAAAACCGTCATTTGCAAAATAAACTTCATTTCCTCTTCTGCTTCTTTCTTGATTTGCTCTTTATACGCCTGCCTTGTATCTTGCGTTTCACATGGAGGAATCATTACCCATTACAGGTGTTTCCCTATGACTTATGCTACCCTCTCAACATATGCTACTTATATCCATTCTTATCAGCAACACCCATTACAGTACTTCCTGATTTTTCGATTTCCTCTTGTTTTGTAATGACTTCATGTGAGAAAAGTGGAAGGTGATATATTAGTTTTGGTGAATTTGACGGAGTAAAAACACGTTTATGTTGATAACTTTATAAATAAAATTGACTATTTACTCATATGAACGATGCATTTCCTAAATTCTATTGATGAACAGAAAAATATCAATCAATTTGATAACTCTGTGGAACGGCATACAAAGTAACTGAGTTTAAAGCAACTTACATGAGACGAGAACATAAGCAGAGGCTGATTCACTTTCAGAATCTGGATGAATAGTTTTACACTTGTATTCACCAGTATCAGTAAAGTTTACATTGGTGATGATCAACTGACACATGGCCATCAGTTCGTCTGTATACTGTCCAATAATAACTTTGAATTTTCGATCACGAAAAGTGTTTGTAGTTGTATTGGTTTGAAAGAGACAACTTCCAATTTTATTCTGATTAAATAGTTTTAGAAAACAAGAAAAAGCAACTGATGAATCCTTATTCTGATATGAAAATAAGCATTCTGTACTCTTCTCATATTCAGTCTAAGTATACACAAGAAAACAATAAAGTTAAATGACTTCAGAACTCTATGAGTAATTTGGTCAAAGTCGCTGGTAAACAGCAATAATAGCCAAAACAGAAATAATGTACTTCCGGCGAGTTCCAAACATCGGAACAGTTACCTTCGTTGTCCAGCGTTGCATAACACTATAAATTTTAACGACAAATTAGGTCAGTCTACATATCTCTAATTTCTAAACTCCTACATGAAATAAACATTAATTGATATGATACAATTTCAGTTCATAACCGTTTCATAATACTAAGACACTCAGGTGAACGGTTGCTGGAGAAATTGGATAATGTTAGAAAGATGCTAAATGTAGCATAATGACTAGTTTTCCAGTTTCTAGAGATGGACAGAGGAAAACCATTGGGTCCTGTCCTCTCTTTTTCACTTGTTCTGTGGTTCTTATAAGTGATATGAAATGGAAATTATTAACATGCTGATATTTACCGATGAAGAATACTTGTTTAAGAAGAACACACGCCAGAAGTTAATATCTTTTACTACGCTGAAGAAAGTAACCCATTTTAGTAAATCAGAAGGTAACCTACACACAAATAATAATAATTATTTATTATTTGTCCATTGGGTTCCTAGTGGAATATAGAACTTCAGTAGCACGCCACCATTGCACTCTGTTCTCTGCAGTCTTTCGAACCTGACTCCACGACTTCCCACAAGCTTTCATTTCTTCCTCACACCATCTCTTCCATGTCACCCTCGGGCACCCGACTCGTCGTTAGAAGTTTGATTTCACCATCTGTGGTGGGGTGTTGTCCAGTACTGATTTAAGTTTTCTATAGAATTCCTCCTTCTTCTCTTCATCTCCATTATTTGTAGGTGCATAGTGTAGCGTAGCATTGTATCATTGTGACTTTCATTCCTTTTCACTTAGATCTTCCCTTCATGATCCTGATCCTGGAGGAGGGGATTAATTCCCACTTCATGTGAGCCTTAGATGCTCTTGGGACATCATGATAGACACTCAAAAACTCAGTGTGCTGTTCTCGTGGTTGTCGTCTGGGTGACAATATCAGAGTAGATTATTGACTCCTCATTAGTTGACAGTTTGAGAGTCCACTTCCATTCCATCTATAGATTCTTCACAGATTCCCACCACTTCTATGCCACACCTTCTCATCTCTTTCAGAATCTGGGTAGCCTTGCTAGGTTCATACATGGTGCGGACATTCCATGCCCCCATTCTTACTTTCGCTTTCATCGAGAGAGAGAAGACACATCAGCCGATTGGCTTCCTGAAGGCTTTCATTTACCGGCGTCATTTCTTATCTCCGATTTCGGTGAGGAATAAGTTTGTTTTAATTTTTTATATTTTGTTTTTCCTTAGAAGTTTGCCTAGCGATTGGATTGGTTTTCTGGGTTAGGGTTGCTAGCCCTATACCCAACCTTCCCTCTTAATTTGGGCTTAGATTGGCTAGCAACTAGTGAACTAGTTAACCAGGAGAGGTTACACACAGATAATTAACCAGTAATATTAATAGCAATGATGGTTATAGTGAAATAGAAAACTTACAGTGTTTAAGTACCATTCTATAAAAACAGGTGTAGTTATAACAGCACAAGAATGTTGTATTGTGGCTCCAATGCGAGCGATCTGATTTGTAGGACGAAGCACAAAATCACCTTTAAGTAAAAAGATTTACATGTTGTATATATCAGTTATATGCAGGATACAATGGTTATAATTTTAGGCAAAGCATAGGAAATATCTTAACCGGTAATTAGACAGACTGCTTAAAATTTAGGCTAGTGAAAAATTTTCATTTAATGTATTTCATCAAATTCCTTCTTTTCAATTTGTTTTAATCTTCTCATTATGTACTCTTGCACACTTTTAAAGTAGCTTCAAACTGCCATTTTTCCAGCTAACAACAAAACAGTACAGAAATGCAGCACATTACTTACTATTCGTTGGATGACTGTGTCAAATTGCAGAATATGACACTAGCTGGATCAACTACTACCACCACTGAAATAATCCTGGATTTTCTATTCATTCATCATTCCAAACCAGACGCTAATGTAACATCAGGTGCTTGTTTCACATTGCGGCTTTTATCACATTTATTATTAACCTTATTCAAATGTAATGATTATTTCACATAACGATATTGTACAAGGAATGAATTTGCTGAAATATTACATACTGAGAATTCCATATTGTACCACAAGTACTGTTTGGAATAAGGCCACTATCATCGCTATTATTATCATTATTACTATTATTATTATTATTAATTCAGTTCAATGGACCCTAATAAGTCAACCTTATACACAAATCAAATGAAAGTCAAATTCGACAAAACAATAGGGGGGGACAACTCATTTGAAACATGTATTATAATGTCAGGGAAGTAAAATTTTTAACAGTCTGATAGCACACTTATTTGCTATATGTATTTACTTCAGACATAAGAAAGGATAAATGACTTTAAAATACAAGCCATAAAATAATTAGGGTCAATATAAGTGCAAACCTTGTGCATATGACATATAATGACGTTTCCACCATAAAATATTGTTCATATTCACAACAACGTGATATCACACAGTTTTCGACATCTGATTTTCACAGTCCTATCACCCATCTCGTATTCATTGTTTATATTGGTAGTAAAATTGTGTATATCTCTGGTAAACGTGTTCCTTCATTCCTATGAACAAAGAATCAGTAATCAATCTCTTTCTCTGTCTTTTGACCTAACCTTTTCGGATTTAAGCAAAGTGGCTTTATACCACTCGATTGTGTGGTTATATATATCAATGCATATATTGCAATAGCCAAGTTACTTTCTAGACTATTGATCTTACTGGCGTCTGTCATTCTATATTTGGCTAAATTCCTCTGTTCCACTAGTCTGACTAACATCAACCGACTAGTCGCACCTATGCACTCAACAGCGCATTTAACAAGGCTGGAATTAGGGTGGAAATTGAACCTAACTCATAGATAAGAATTTGTCGGCAAAAGGATCCCCTAAATCAAATTCAACAAAATAATCTCATTTACTGAATTTCATGCAATGACTGTATCCAAAGCACCGTCTGCCCTTCTTTTGGATATTACCGTCTACAGGAAACCCATACACTCTAACAGGTATCAAACTTCAGGTCATCGCATATAATGCCAGTTAAGGCGAGTTTAGTCAAGTGTATAAATGACAGTGCTAAAAAGCTCACTAGTCATTGTAAGGACCTAAGCAAGGAATTGAAACACATAAAAGAAGCATTAATAGTTAGTTATTCATTGCCATCTGCCGTTTATTAAGCAGATCCTGACAAGTATGTAAAAAAACAAATTGATGGCAGTTGTATGAAACCGAATAAGGCGGACAACAAAAGTAGAAATGAGCTCAAAGTTAAAAGAATTCTCAACAATGCTTGAATTAGCGTAGCATTTAAACCAACAAACTCAGTCAGAGATAAACCCTGATGGCATAAGAATTCAGCAAAATAATCTAATCTATCAAATTCCATATAATGACTGTGACGTCAAGTACATCGATGAAGCCAACTGATGGGTATTAGTTAGATACGTGGAACATAAGAATTTAGCCCAATAATAGAATGACAGATCCCAATGGAATCAGTAATCTAGAAAGTCACTCACCTATTGCAATGTATGCATTGACATACAACATACAGACAATAGGGTGGAATGAAATCACTGTGATTAAGTTCCATATAGTTAGATGAATGTGGAGAATGATTGATTACTGAATCTTTGTTCATCGAATCAACACCCATGACATGTAATAGGAGTGGGGGAATACGCATACCAGAGATATGCAGAATTTTACTATCAGTAGGAGTAAAGAATATGAGATTGGTGATAGGACTGTGAAAGTCAGATGTTGAAAGCTGTATGATTACTTAGTTTGATATGATTATGAGGAGTAATTTATGGTGGAAACGTCATTAAGTAAATAATACCGTATCATTGTATTCATTAAATAAACAAATCTAAACGGGGTCAAATCGGTAGTTTATGCGGGAAGAGGAAGATGGTTTATTAGTCACTTTTGGTAGTAATGCGATAACAAAACGTGGTCGAAACTTCCTCATAGTTAGAACGTTAACAAACTTATATATATAATCAGTCATGTAAACTGGTTTGAAAGTTTCATAAGAATTCACTCTAGGCACCCGTTTCAAGGATATGTTTAACTGAAGCCGAAGTTGAACATGTATAAAGGGGATTAAGTGTTTCAGGTTGCCGAAAATCAACCATCTCTTATCGACTCCTTAATCATCAGCTTTTCAACCATTTAGAAACAAAGATAACTACATTTATGCAGGCAAATTATCAGTACAACACAAATATAACTCTGTCCTTGCTTGTGATCCTTTTAAAAATGTTCACACAATAATTCTTCTCTTTTTTTCATCATGTGAAGGTGAACAACCTTTCACATGTCTGGATCGACCTCAGGAAGATAAGAGTCCTGTTGATACAGGTTAAATATGATCACCACAATTTTCCGGTAAACAATTGCATTTCTAAATCTTCTCAAGTTATATTTTACGGTTAGTCTTCTTAATGATTTTTAAAAGTGTTTATTGAATGCTTAAGAATTCTTTATGACTGAGCATGGATAGTTTCACAAGACTATATGCATAATAGTAGCAATATGAACAACAACTGAAATATACATGAGAATATTTATTGAATATTAGTTGTCATAGCCTTATTTAATTACGTACTAAAGACTGTTTTATACTACCTAAAGGGATTTCACGTCCACACTATCTGTGCTACATACTGTTCAACTACCTTCGATTCCTCACAGATCATGGATTAACCTCTACATTACCTCATGATATCTCGGAGAACCAATAGCTTCACATCGACTTCTGTTTTATAGACTGACTAGATGGCGAAGTCAACGTAGAATCTCACACACAGTTGCATCAGTTCAAGCTGCCACACTTCATAGTATTACACAAAGAACAGGTGGATAGAAAAAAGTGATATCAGACTAGACAAAATTTGTGCGACAGAATAAGCAATCTAAAGGTAACCGTTAGTGCAAATATTCACGCTTTAGAAGATATCATGGAGTGAATACATCTGCGCCATCCTGACCGATTTCAGCCATGCCACCAAGAGTCAATCCCCAACCACTTATTCCTTTCGTCTTGGGGAACGAAGTGGGCAGTTGAAAGCTCTGCACACAGCTCGGACTAATAGTTAGGGAATTCGTTGACTGATGCCACGTCTTGGTGTGGTTATCCTGAACCATCTTCCAACTACCCCTAGCATGACACTTCGGAGAAAGAGATGAGTCGCCATGCGGAGTACATCTTCAAGCCATCTCAGTCGACTTAGGTACACAAGTTCACAAGTTGATTTGCCTATTTTGCCTAGTACCATTCGCCTGACCTCAGCATTGCTCACGCCAAACACAAGCAGTGCCAAGAAGATACATATGGTCAAAAACCTGTAAACGCTTCATATCTACTACTTTCAACGGCCATTTCTCACAGATGTATGACAGGAAAGCACAAACTGCAACGCAGAATACTCGTCCTTTGATAGATAATCCGATATCTTGTCAGTTGGCGCCACACGTGACGCATGTTGGAAAAGGCCAGCGGGGCCTTCTATATCCGAGCTGAGATTCCGTCGGCAACCGGCCCTTACAGGCTTTTTTATATACAGCATTTGAACACTATTTGATCGAATGTCATTCTTTGGGAGATTCATTTCTATGTTATCTTCATGACTTGTTGGTGATTATAGAATTCCATGTATTTTCCTTGCTTTATCAAAGCAAAAATGACTGACAATTGTACTTGTTATTTCTTGTTATAAAATGTTGTTGTTGTTGTTGTTATCAATTTCTTCACTAACGGAAAACTAGGCTAATAGATAAAAAAATTGACAGTAAATCACATACTTTGTTGAATCAGACATATATTTTGGAATAATTACTTGATCAGAAACATGCTGGTAAATTTAATCCTACAAATGTAGTTACGTAACAGACCACAAAAGAGATATCCGGAGTTGTAGTTGTAACCAGTGACTTTATTTTCATAAATTTAGATAATATCAAAAACCAACAATTAAAAGGATTGAAAGGAGTTGTAATTCAGGATGAGGCTGATGGAGTGGTGTTCTCTGAACTTTCATATTCATAGAAATTAAGGAAGGAATTCACTTAACAAAGGAAAAAGAATCTAAGAACAAAATTCTGTTCTTAGATGTCCTCATCTTTAGAACATACAGCAGGACTGTACAAGCTCGAGCGTACAAGAAAATCATACAAATTGATCACATTTTGAAGTAAGTTAGCAATCATCCTACATTCGATAAGAAATGTTGTGTGTAAACACTATTCTGAAGATCCAAAACGTATTGCAGCACAGACACTGTGGAAAGCCGAAGTAACATACCTGTAAAAAGTGTTCAAAACCAATCACCATCCACGGAACAAAAAGTGTTTATCAGCAGGATACAAGACAAGGCAATTACCCTACATGGAAGATATCTGAGAAACTGTCAACGGACTGCTTTGTCTGTTGGAGACTGGAGTAGTACACAAACCGACGAAATCACTACGCAGCATGTTATGCAAATCAAAAGATCAGTTGCCAAAGAAAAACAGAACATTTGTAATCTACAAAATCGATGACAAAGATTGTTCACAACACTCTGTTAGCCAGTTTAGCTGTCGGATTGCTCAAAGAATTTGTTAACAGTAACTAGCAGTAAGGTGACATGATGCAGCCCTCTCGGTTTTACCGCACGTAGACAAATAAAATCACAAATTTGGCTGGGAGAATGTGAAAATCCTTCAAAGAGCAGGTTTTAAAGCCACAAGATAACTTCTAGAAGCATGGCACTCTAACGGAATCTAACCAAGGGACACATGGGTATAGATCCAATCTATGATCTCTACCAGCGTAATCGAATGAAATTTGAAGTCAAAGCGGTCAATGGTGTAACAAAAATCTCTTATACAACTTACAAATGGACAACACCTAAGGTCCGTAATAACACCATCTAAAAATTTGTGCAAAGTCTAACCATGCTTCATTTCTATATAAAGTTAGTTCTGAGGATAACATCAAGTCTGAAGATGAAACGTTCACGGCAAAGTATCAAATCTCAGCGAACACCAAAGCAACAGCATAGCTGAAAGCTGTTACAAATTACTGAGAACTCTTACAGATGTCACTGTTAGGGTTGGATAGAAAAGAAGATAGTATGAACATGGAATCTAAAGTTACTGAGTAGCGGTCCGAGTTGCCACATTCCTGTAATTATTAGATTTCCAGTTAGAGTTTGATAACACCAAAGACGGGAAAATCAGACAGTTTTCGGACCTGGTCATGGTTGGATTGACCATATATTCATCAGGAAGACCACTATGAAAGAACAAAATAACCAAATGGGACTATTAATGAACAGATGAACTGTTAGCCCCTCACCACACATAAAAGGTACCTAAAGACGCATTAATCTTGCGCTTTATATGTAAACTTAAAAGACTTTCAAAAACTCACAGCTCTTCAGCTTCCATCAATGAGAAAAGAGAAAATTACAAGGCAAGATTCACTCAAATTGTAAGGTGCCTTTGAGGAAATGGGATATAAAAACTAAAAGTATGACATTAAGTCGAAGAATTTGAAACGATTATGCGGAATTTGGACGGGCTGTTTTAGCCCACTATGAATTGTAATACTAAAAGAGGATGATTGAGATGCTTTGCAAAGACTATGGTGGTATTATTTCACTTGTCAAGTCGTTGAATTCAAGTTTTCAGTCAGTTTAGAAGCAGAACATAGAAGGACTGGAGTCATGGATTTTAAAGACAATTCTAAGAAAAAGTACTCACTTTATTCTTCTACTCTATACTAAACTGGAAATACATGAAGATCACAAACGTACGTCAGTTATTTACGTCTTAGAATAATAGTTTAATTAAACCTGATAGAAGTGAAAAACTTGGGCACTGTGGTAGAATGTAGTTCCATATTAGATTTGTTTATTTGATATAAAGCGCACAGTGATACAGTATTATTTAATTGATTACGTTTCGAGCATAAATTATTGCTCATAATCATATCAATGTAATCACACTTCTTTCGACATCTGATTTTATAGTCCTGTCACTTGATCTCTCTTTGTTTTTTTGTTTTTTGATTAGTAGTAAACCTGATAGATCACCTCATTTAATGATCACACACGTCGATCGGTACTGAACAATTAGATCTGTGCACGTATATCGGTTACCTACTGCTGATTGATTCCTTCACATAATCCAGTTCTACAGAGGGTCAATAGTAAGCTGAATAGCTTACAGGTAAAGTCTTCGATTTCACCAGTGACCGATACAGGTCTGAATCACATAAAGAGCATCAGTTTTCTCATGGTTGCAGATACGTCTTGCTGATAAGTGCCAACGAGTGAGAAACCCAAGTTCATGAAGTTCTCTTGATTAACTCTCACCGTCCGATATGAAGAATGTATCGTTATATATTTTAGTTGTACTCATGATTAGTGTAGGTCAAAGTACTTGAAGTTATCACAATTATTTGATCTGAAATATTCTTTATGTTGTTACAAACAACTAATCTAGCACAAGTAAGATCACTTAGAAGTCAGAGAATATGGAACAATCAGACGCGAATATAATCTTTTTGCATCTAAATGCAAATATAAATGCTAGTCAACATGATGAATGTAAGCTGGTGGTCAAAGCTACCCGACTCTAAAGTTTGATGAATGCCTATAATATAACTGGTAGAAGATGGTCATGTCAGTGTATGAAATATTATTCTGCTGGAACACTTTCCATTGTCATGAGTATGCAAAGTGTCACAGATATGCGTTTACTTTATTATATTTGTCCATGTTAATACTTTGTGGCGGAATTCGTCAATTACTAGATTCAATGCTTTATTCAAAATCATACTAGAAAGGCTCTTGAAATCATAAAATATTGATTTCAAGGTGGAGAAAGGTGAAAAAACAGATATGCTATATTTTGGCCATCAGTTTTGAAGATATTTGAGTGATGCACATATCTTTCTGTTCCATAATATGGTTATCGTTACTTATCCAGATGAACTTGATAGCAAACGGACTGATTGGTGACGAAATCTTAGCTTGGATGCAGAAGGCCCAATTGGTATTAGCCAACTTGCGTCACCTGAGGCACCGACTAATGTGATATCTGACTATCAAAGGACGAGTCATACTTCATTACAGTCCGTTGTGTACTGTTATGAGACATGGCGGTTAAAAGTAGAAGACATGAGGAAGTTGCACGCTTTTGATCATAGATGTCTTTTTAGCATTACGTGACACGTAATGCTCATTCCAAGTCACCGCCTATCTCGACTTGCTATGCCAGGGCAAGCTGGATTACGTTGTAAGAGAGTTCAGACGAAGATGTGACACAAGTCCAAGAAGTCTCTTACTGTTGGTCCGAGTCGTGTAGGGTGCTATCGAACACCTCCCTGGGGTCCTCGAGACGAAAGAAATCAGTGATTGAGGACTGACTCTTAGTGATATGGCTGCAAAAAACAGGTGGCATTGGTGCAGATGTATTCATACCATGATATCTTCTAGAAGTTGAATATGGCACCAGTCTTCCTGTACAAATTATTTATTCTGTCTCACAACTTCTAATTTGGTATCGCTGTTTTTTTGTCCAACTATTCTCTGTGTGCTACTGTGAAGTATGGCAACTTGAGTCATTGCACCTGTGTGCGAGGTTCTACGTTGCTTTTGTCAGTCAGTCATGATAGATCAGCCATTCTAGGCATGAAACTTTAAAAAGTTGTTGCAGAATATATGAAGTAGATTTACCGGACAATGAACATAAATCAAGTTGCCTGAATTATGTCTGGGTGAGTAAAACTCATGATTTAAGTAACTGTTTGATAACTTTTTATTGTCTATTACACTGGAATAAGAATTCATTTCTAATGTATGTCTCATCAACCGCTTCCATATTAGATTTGTTGATTGGATATACATCGCACGGCAACACAGTATTATTTACTTGGTGACATTTCCAGCATAAAATATTGTTCATATTCACACAACGTGTTATCACACAGCGCTTTCAACATCTGACTTTCACAGTCCTATCACCAATCTCATATTCTTTACTCCTACTGATAGTAAAATTCTGCATATCTCTGGTATGCGTATTCCCCCACTCCTATTACATGTCATGGGTGTTGATTCGATGAACAAAGATTCAGTAATCAATCATTCTCCACATTCATCTAACTATATGGAACTTAATTACATTGGTTTCATCCCACCCTATTGTCTGTATGTTGTATGTCAATGCATACATTGCAATAGGTGAGTGACTTTCTAGATTACTGATTCCATTGGGATCTGTCATTCTATTATTGGGCGAAATTCTTATGTTCCACTTATCTAATTAATACCCATCAGCTAGCTTCATCGATGTACTTGACGTCACAGTCATTATATGGAATTTGATAGATTGGATTATTTTGCTGAATTCTTATGCCATCAGGGTTTATCTCTGACTGAGTTTGTTGGTTTAAATGCTACGCTAATTCAAGCCTTGTTGAGAATTCTGAGTAGTTTCTCATGCTCCTTTCTTAAATGATAGAACTTCGTCTACTTTGATGTCAGTCGTTTTATGGCATTTTTTCTTTGTGTACTACTGTGAAGTGTGTCAACTTGAACCGATGCACCTGTGTGGGAGGTTCTACGGTGAATAAAACCACCTGTCTGACCTCTTGTAAAATGAATTAGGATAAGTGAACATTTCTTAACTCTAACAATCCACTATGATAGAGTATGGAATACATACAGTCTGATCGATACGTGAAAACCATAGTCAAAAGAGTATTTCACATATATATATATTATGGGAATAATGGTGTTCCGATGTGGATGATAATATGAGAGACGAATTAGAAATGCTAAATTCGAGCAGTATGCAATTCACATTCACAAATGTGTGCATGTTAAATGCTGAAACTTATCTAAACTTTATGCTTTCTATTTCCTCATATAATGTAATAAGCTGTACAGAAGCTCAGATTTATCTCTAAATATGTAAACTTCCTTTAGTTTCCAGATGTGGTGACAACAAGTGTCTGTCAACAAAATAGTCTGTATCCATGGGTGAATAACACAGAACAATAATGTGTTGAGAAGTTTCATATAACAGAGAGTTAAAATACTGAAATCTTACTTCTAGTTTGGATGAGCAAAGTGAACAGGAGTAGAAGAGAATTTGAGTATTTCATAGTTGTTGATAAATCCCCAATACTGTGTTAATTCAAGGAATGATAGTTGAAATAATATTCCGTGTGATTGTATCGTTTATTGTTGTATGTGTTCTGGTAACTTAGTGACTCCATCCATCCATGGAGATGCAGCATAACAGATGTGTGTTTATGATTTTGTGAATGTTGGTTGACTGATATTGATGAAGTCAGTGTCCATCGAGTGTAATTGATTGTGATTGTGATTGTGATTGGATGATAAGTGGACAAACTAGTTAGTATAATGAATATCTGTAATGCAAATGAGATGTTACGCACATTTTTGTCGATGTTGGTTTATGTATGTAAATGCGAAGGAATTGATATACGAAAGACATCAAACATGAGAAATTCTCTATCCAAGGCAAAAAATAGCAATCACAGGTCACTTTCTTTTTCAAGATGGAATATTGAATTGAATAATGAATGACGAGTCGCAAAGTAATGTATTAACGAGATCCTTTTAATAAAAAGGAGGATTAATCCCTTTTAAGTATATTGAAGAAAACTCTGAATGTTGCAAATTGCATTTCTTCTAAACCAAATGCCTTAAACAATAAAAACTATCCCTAAATGACTGAAGAAGTTGACTAACAAAACGGCGAAATTCACATCTCATTTACATTACACATATTCATTATACTAACTAGTTTGTCCACTTATCATCCAATCACAATCACAATCACAATCAATTACACTCGATGGACACTGACTTCATCAATATCAGTCAACCAACATTCACAAAATCATAAACACACATCTGTTATGCTGCATCTCCATGGATGGATGGAGTCACTAAGTTACCAGACGACATACAACAATCAACGATACAATCACACGGAATATTATTTCAACTATCATTCCTTGAATTAACACAGTATTGGGGATTTATCAACAACTATGAAATACTTAAATTCTCTTCTACTCCTGTTCACTTTGCTCATCCAAACTAGAAGTAAGATTTCAGTATTTTAACTCTCTGTTATATGAAACTTCTCAACACATTATTGTTCTGTGTTATTCACCCATGGATACAGACTATTTTGTTGATAGACACTTGTTGTCACCACCTCTGCAGACAAGCATCTTATACCGTTTATTAGAATGAAGTAGGGGAACGAAATGCATGAATGCATTTGGAAGTGTGGAAACTTGCAAGCTTAAGAAAGGAGGTAACCAGATGATGACAAAAACAGAACACTTTTCAATACTAATAGAGGGGTGTATTTTTCATGAGGAGCCATGGTGTCGGCAGTTAGATGTTGTTCACTATGCATGTGCCATTCAGATGCAGTGATAACTTTGTGCTTCAGGTTGACTATCCTCCATCGTAACACAGAACACATTGTTTCTGCACTCGAAATATTACTTTGATTGGAGTAGACGACATTGCGTAGCATTGACTACTCACCAGCAAGATCGTGATGACGAATTATTGAGCAGATATGTTGTGAGAGTAAGAATTCTTGATTGTGTTCTGTTTGTTTCTTGTTGTTCACCGTTTTTGCTGGCATTGTTTGCCTTCGCTTGTGACAATGATATATTAGTCATGGTGAAGCCACATGATGTGTTTTCTGTTTTTTGGTATATTAGTTAATGTTATTGTGAAGTCTTTTACAATCGAGTGATGTCATGTGTTGTGATATTGATTGAGTTATATTGAGACTTTAGTTGGGTGTTTGAGAGTGGATTTAATATCTCGACTTTTGTAATGTGATCCAACCATCATGCGACCTGTATATCTTCGACTAACAGCGCCTGACTATTCTGAGTAGTTATTTCTAGTCGCTGTCAAGTATTTTTATAGACATTTAGTAACGAGAGTGAGTTGTCATCTGCACCGATATTATATTTCATATGAAACCAACTTTGTCAAAGCAGGAATGTCTCAGTTAATAAATGTTGTGAAACTTGCTATGGACTACCGAATTATTCATTGGAACCACCTGAAGTATATTCATGAGAGTAATAGTTGCAGTGAACTGCAACACTGACTGTTGTGGTTGTCACATGCTCGTTAATGAAGCTGACTAAACTTTTTGTCCTACGTATTCATAAGCAAGACCAACATAATCCAACGATTAGAATACACTATCATTTCAGTGTTTCTAATGTCCTTGATATAAAGAAAGTCATGAAACGAATTTATAATTATCTGATGCTAAGGCAGTTGATTTGTTCCATTAGTAATTCATTTCAGATAGTGTATTATCTTTGATAAACCGACATTCAATATTCTACAGAATAAGCCTTTACACATAAAATAGTAGAGTAGACTGCTTGACCTAATTGATTTTTAGTCAATTATTTCTTTGCAACAACCTATTTAATTTTTTCTGTTATAACAACTTTTCAAGTAGCCATTGAAACATTGGATGTAATGTGCTACATATGCTGGAAAAGGTTGAATTTAACTATAACTACTCACACATGATTTTTGGAACAAAAAGCGCCCAGAACGAATCAATTTTCAAAATAATCTAAATATATGGGTCATTTCGCATGTGTTTCAATCAAATTTTTTTTTGTGCAATCAGTTTATTCACTAAAGTGCAAATCTCCTAAATTTTACAATATTTTTATAAGAGACAATTTAATGTTAGATTCTTAATAAATATAGTTAGCGGTCTATTCGTCTAGTATCTAGCATTATAGATTATATAATCAGTCAATGAGTTCAAATAAAAGACAAAACATGCTTCCTGGATTTCCTGTTTAGTACCCTCTACCAATAATCTCTAACCATCACTTTTTTCTTGCGGACCAATTTGCAACGCTTCGCATTATCATAGAACAGAGTATAGAATGACAGTCAACTCTCTCACTCAACTTCACCGACTTTGAAAAGGCGTTTGACGGCGTCGACCAAGAAGTAATCTGGCAGGCAGCTGCTTCAGCACTACGGAATAATACAAACCTTTATCAACCTCATTCAGCAACTATATGAAGATGCCACACGTCAAGTAATTCACAATGAGATCAGGATGCTTTTGAAGTGAAGAGAGGAGTGAAACAATGCTGCCTGCTATCACCCATGATATTCCTGATTGTGGTCGACTGGATCATGCAACAAACAGTGAGGAGCGAGAAGAGGAGGATACGCTGGACAGGGGAAAAGAACCTAGAAGACTCAGATTTCGCTGATGACTTGTGTCTGATGTCGCACAAACTTGAAGATCCATAGGCGAAAACTAAAAATTTAACAGAAGAGGCGAGGCAGCAAATACAGGACTTCAAGTGAATATAGAGAAGACAGAGGTGATGATGATACCCAACCAACAACACCAAACACCAATCACCATGAACGAGAGAAACTTCAAGGAAGTAACCTCTTTCACCTATCTAGGCAGCATCGTTTCAACTACAGGTGATGGCACGGACGAGGACGTCAAATCAGCCAGGATCGGAAAGACAGCAAGACAGGCGTTCATTAACCTGAAACCAGTGTGCAGATCTTCTGCACTCAGCATGTGGAACAAGATCCGGATTTTCAACACCAACGTCAAGTCAGTGCATCTGTATGGTTGAGAGACTTGGCGCGTTACGAAAGGGATTTCCAACAAACTACAGACATTCATCAACAACTGCCTACACTGGCTCGGTACTCGAGCTCAGATGGCCAGAAAGAATAAGCAACAAGGAACTGTGGCTGGCAACGAACCAACCAACAACCTACCGCTCAACAAATATGTAGAAGGAAGTGGAGATGGATTGGATTGGACATACACTGAGAAGGCCGACTGATGACATCGTGCACCAGGCCAATTGCTCGAGTGGAACCCAAATGGGAAAGGACGAGTTGGGCGTCGGAGGTAAGGGTGACATGAAGGAGAGAGAGAGAGAGAGCTTCTGGTCTGTCGTGGAGCCAGGTTGAAAAGATTAGAGAGAAGAAAGTGGAATGGAGACGTGCTACTGAAGCCCTATGTTCCATTAGGAACCCAAGGGACAAATAACAATAATCACTTTCTACTAGAAAGCAGATATTCTGGCTTAAATAATACAGTTAATTACTATCTGCTTTTGTGATGAAGCAGTGAGTTTGGGAAGGGGGCATATTTTAACAAATTACAAAGTCGTGAAGAGGTGTTCATGTCTCACTACTCCACACAGAAATGTGACAGATGGTATTGAAGTCTTTCAGTTAGTACATTAAACTCAACGATTTAAATAAATAACAGTATTCAAAATTCATGAGTTTGCATTGGCTCCCATCGAACAGCATTTCTGGTGAGAATTGGTGGTGTAAACATCAAAAGGATTCTAGACCATGTATACATACAGTTCAATCACCAAAAAATCTATATGAAAACTTCAGATATCTTATGAAGTCTATGAAAATGTCAATTGTAACATGATATAAAGTACCCAAGTGTGATAATTCACTTGATTTCACCAAAATGAGAAATCTCCATCAACTACACAGTTCTGAGTAGATATGATTACTCTGTACTCTTTTAACGGTTATATAATGGTGTTCCATCGACAGGGTGGAATAGCGTTTTAGGGAAAGAAACATTTTAAGTACCGTGTACTTCAAAAGGGGAAAATATGATGCCTGCATTCTCCTTCACGTCTGGTACCTGCCTGTTTTCCTCAAGTTTCGGTTATGCATAAAATGCTTATAGACCTTCGGAAATTAGGCACTATTAGTCTATCTATATTCCCTAGTTGTCACGGGAAGTTTTCTCTGCATTTCTACAAGTTGAAATGATCAGCTATCGAGACCAATCTGACGGGATCAATCGTAATATATCATACACCAGCTAGTACCCCCTGTTAGTCTGTCAGGCAATTTCCACACGATATCCATCAGATCGTGTTGCTTTGAACCGTACCAGCTTTTAAATACCCTTCGTAACTTCAATGACTATCCCAGAACCGACATATGCAACTCATTTAGACTGATAGGCAACCGAACTATTCTTGCTCGAGTTACATAAGGCAGGAAGTTATTAGGAATCCATACTTATCAGCAATGACCAGCATCTTTTCTATGCTAGACTCTGTAATCAATCCAAATAATTTTCATATTTTACTCAGAGCCGACGACTTCCTCTTTAATATTTCACTTTCCACAACCAATTGCATCCCATATAGACAGATTACTCTACTAATCACCTACAAGTTCTCGTAGTACCGTCAAAACTCTACAATAAAACGATGCTCATCTACACTATATGTAAGTAAAAACCACATATCACAACAGTCGATAACATCATTAGTCTATGAATAATAAAACAAACATTCAACTACATAACATAAATAGTATCAATAAGTAAAAATTATGAATGTTTTATTTACACTGAAGAAAATATTTCACTCACAATATGAAAGGAGAGAATAACAATGGTGGTAGTTCACTTCAATGACTATTCAAAATATACATACAATAATTCTGGCAGAAATAATAATTTCCATTTGAAAACAAACAAACAAAAGAATAAAATGCTCAATGTAATAAATAATAGACAATAGTGTATTCAAGAAAGACTTAAGGATATAGTTCGCTTTATTATAGTGTATAATATACACCATCATGTACACAGGGAACACAATGCAAGCTAAGCTATTTCTAATGTGTGTAAACTTCACACTGAATAGACTGGATTTGTCTTTTCATTGTTGAAAACTGATAACAATTGAACAGAGGAACTGATTACATACATATTAGTAGTGTCATCATCATCATCATCATCATCATAATTGTTGAACCAACACATTCAAGTTTAGATTGAACACAAAATTCTATTTATGTACTACATAATAATAATAATAATAATAATCATAAAATATTATGGAATGTATTCTAATTTGATGAACCGGGACTTTGTGGAAATAAATATGTCATAATAAACATGCATATATCTGTATTGCTCCAATAATTAGTATGTGAAGTCAACAGGGAAATGTATAAATTTTCATAACGTGATGCACGTAATTCAAAGTCTAAACGATGTTCAAGCTGTAATGATTCTAAGTAAAATCCATTTTCAACTGGATCATTACAAGATGGATTAGATAAGCTAATATTAGATTCATTTTTATCTGTAGACTTGCATGAATTTGAATGATTTGGCATTGAATAAGGTTTTTCTTCATCATCACTAAATAATTCGAATGTTGTCTTCAATGGTGTATGATCATAGGTATTTTCAGAAAGAGAAAAATCTATTACATCATTTTCATGAGTTGGAGAAGATGCTGTTCTTGAGAAGAAACCAAAAAGTCGACCTGAATGTAGAATAAATATAAAATGCTTTATCTGTTGTAGAAATAAAAACTGAGAATATATACAGTAGCATAAAAGAGCAAAATGTAGCAGTAGATCAGTTATAAAACAATAAATAAGCCACTGAGTCGGTTTCCAGTGGTTCACAATTCCCACCTTCTGTCAATTCACGGCAAAGCGCGACTGTCACCCAAGGTCTTCAGTTAGCATCCACTTCATTTCCGATTGGTTGACCCCACAGGTCACGGCTTCTCATTAGAACTTTCTAACATCCATCTGGAAGCAAGTCACTAATGAGCAGAGCACTAGAGATGGGGATTTTTAATTTAGAAGTAGTATTCATCATACACTGATACCAGTTAGGGAACCATTGAAAATCTGGAGCAATGGACAGCTGTTTCGTCCTAGTATGGGACTCCTCAGTCGGAAGTGAAGTGGATGCTAACTGAAGACCTTGGGTGACAGTCGCGCTATATCGTGAATTGACAGAAGTTGGAAATTGTGAACCACTGGGAACCGACCCAGTGGCTGAATGGTTAACGCGTTCGCCGTGATACCTGAAGGTCCTGAGTTCGACCCCTAGCCGAGTCGTGGGTGCGTACTGCTGAGGAGTCCCATACTAGGACGAAACAGCTGTCCAGTGCTCCCAGATTTTCAATGGTTCCCCAACTGATGTCAGTCCATGATGAATACTACTTCTAAAATAAATAGGCAATTACTGATTATGTAGTCATATGAAAACCTAAAGGGAATGCTTATTTTTACGCGTATTAAATGATTACATACTGCACACATAAGCGATATTGTTGGATGATTGGGTGGACTATTATCGTTTAGTATCGGTTGACAGCTGGAACCCTATCCAAAATATAGTAAAGTGTAAACATGCACATAAATCAACATAAATATTCGTACACTTCAGTTTAGATACACAAAAGGTACAAAATTCAATGAAATCATCTTTCTTTCTGAATCACTGGACATTATAAACATTAGCAACTTGAAAGAATTTTCAAAAATCTACTATTTTTCATCACCCTAACCCTAAAGCATACATAAAACTGTAAGCTGGTGACAATGTATGCAAAGTAAAGGAAGTATGCTGAAGAAAACCCTGAATGTTGTTATTTCTTCTAAACCAAATGCCTTAAACAATAAAAACTATCCCTAAATGACTGAAGAAGTTGACTAACAAAACGGCGAAATTCACATCTCATTTACATTACACATATTCATTATACTAACTAGTTTATCCACTTATCATCCAATCACAATCACAATCACAATCAATTACACTCGATGGACACTTACTTCATCAATATCAGTCAACCAACATTCACAAAATCATAAACACACATCTGTTATGCTGCATCTCCATGGATGGATGGAGTCACTAAGTTACCAGACACATACAACAATAAACGATACAATCACACGGAATATTATTTCAACTATCATTCCTTGAATTAACACAGTATTAGGGATTTATCAACAACTATGAAATACTTAAATTCTCTTCTACTCCTGTTCACTTTGCTCATCCAAACTAGAAGTAAGATTTCAGTATTTTAACTCTCTGTTATATGAAACTTCTCAACACATTATTGTTCTGTGTTATTCACCCATGGATACAGACTACTTTGTTGATAGACACTTGTTGTCACCACATCTGCAAACTAAAGGAAGTTTACATATTTAGAGATAAATCTGAGCTTCTGTACAGCTTATTACATTATATGAGGAAATAGAAAGCATAAAGTTTAGATAAGTTTCAGCATTTAACATGCACACATTTGTGAATGTGAACTGCATACTGCTCGAATTTAGCATTTCTAATTCGTCTCTCATATTATCATCCACATCGGAACACCATTATTCCCATAATATATATCTATGTGAAATACTCTTTTGACTATGGTTTTCAGGTATCGATCAGACTGTGTGTATTCCATACTCTTTCATAGTGGATTGTTAGAGTTAAGAAATGTTCACTTATCCTAATTCATTTTACAAGAGGTCAGACAGGTGGTTTTAGTCAACGTAGAACCTCCCACACAGGTACATCGGTTCAAGTTGACACACTTCACAGTAGTACACAAAGAAAAAATGCCACAAAACGACTGACATCAAAGTAGACGAAGTTCTGTGCGAGAATAAGCAATTTTAAGATAACGGTTAGTGAGAATATTCATGCTTTAGAAAATGTCAAGGAGTGAATACATTTGAGCCACTGTGACTAATTTTCAGCCATGTCACTAAGAGGCACTTCTCAACCATTAATTCCTTTCATCTCGGGGACCCCAACCGGACAGGCTACATTTTCCCCGACGCCTCAGACCAACGGTAAGAAACTTTATAAACCAATACCATGTCTTGATTTCACCATCCTAAACCCTCTTAAAAGGTAATCCAACTTCCGCCATTATGGCACGCCGAGGTAGGCAATGGTTCAGAATGCACAGTACATATCCAAGCCATACCAGCAGACTAAAGTTCACAACCTCATGAGTAGGCTTGTCGATCTTACCCAATCCACGTCTCCTGTTCTCAACATTGCACGAGGTCACCGACTTCCAAATACCTAGAATACACTTAGGCTGTCTAAATTTGATGGTAAGCCAGTATATGTGGGTAGCTTACTTTATCAATATTTCTTTATTGTCATTTTGACTATCTGAGATAACCGTGGTTTGGCGGACTGGTATTGATACTGGGTGAACATTGAAGGTGAAATGAAAAATTGGACCACGGCCGGGTTCGAACCAGCGGCTACCGAGTTTCCCACCCGATGCTCTACCAACTGAGCTACAAGGTCCGACTGCTGACCACATATCGACTGCTGCCGGTTCAAATTTCCACTTCACCTCCAATCATAACCCAGTATTTATTTATTTAGCAGGTAGAATCAAAATATTCTATCGTCATAAAGCTGCTCTTAAACGACCTTGAAACGATTAATTACAAGTGAGTAGTTCCTTGACTTCTACGTTTTTGAACCCAAGAGTTCTGAAAATCTTTGGACTGATACAAATAAAATAATATGGATTCCATGTTAGATTTGTTTATTCAATGAATACAATGATACGGTATTATTTACTTAATGACGTTTCCACCATAAATTACTCCTCATAATCATATCAAACTAAGTAATGATATAGCTTTCAACATCTGATTTTCACAGTCCTATCACTAATCTCATATTCTTTACCTCTACTGGTAGTAAAATTCTGCATATCTCTGGTATGCATATTCCCCCACTCCTATTACATGTCATGGGTGTTGATTCGATGAACAAAGATTCAGTAATCAATCACTCTCCACATTCATCTAACTATATCGAACTTAATCACAGTGATTTCATTCCATCCTATTGTCTGTATGTTGTATGTCAATGCATACATTGCAATAGGTGAGTGACTTTCTAGATTACTGATTCCATTGGGATCTGTCATTCCATAATTGGGGTAAATTCTTATATTCCACTTATCTAACTGATACCCATCAGTTGGCTTTATCGATGTACTTGACGTCACAGTCATTATATGGAATTCGATAGATTCGAATATTTGTGCAACTGGGTCAGTGGGATCCTTATGCAGACAAAGCGTATCTCTGAGTAAGGTTCAATTACCATCCTGATTCCAACTCTGTTGAAAATTCTACGTTAAGTTTCTCATGTTCCTTTCTTATATGATAACACAATAGAGACGTTGGATTTTTATCCACTCTTGATATCGTCATCATTCATATTCGTAGTACTGCACTTGTGCCAGAGATATGCAAAATTTCGCTACCACTGAAAACAGAGAATATGAGACGGCTAATAGGATTGCTAAAATCAGACGTTGACAGCTGTGTGACGATTTAGTTTAATATGGTTATGAGGAGTAGTTTATGTATGCTGGAAACATCACCAAGTAAGTAATACTACTATATTAAACAATGCGCTAGTCATATCAAGTAAACATATCTAATATTTCAAGTTGTTAATAATCGTAAACTGACATCAGTTGAAGAAACAAAGGAAACCTGGGAGCACTGGACAGCTATTTCGTCCTAGTATGGGATGGACGACATTCGGTGGCGGTTGCGCTATATCGTAAGCTAACAGAAGTTGGAAATATGAACCATTGGATTCTGATCCAGTGGCTCAATAGCAACGCGCTGGCCGCGGAACCTGGTCACGGGTTCGATCCCTGGTAGGGCGGGTCGTGGGTGTGCACTGCTGAGGAGTTTTATACTAGTCGGATGAAACAGCTGTCCAGTACTCCCAGGTTTCCTTTGTTCCTCCAACTGATGTCAGTTTGCGATGAATAACAACTTGAAATATTTCCAAATCTCCACAACTCCCTCAAAAAATTCAATATCTAATATGGAATTCCAGTGCCAGCGCTGAAGAGAATGCTTACAACATTTGAAGAGAAGCTAGTGATATACTGAAACAATTGAAACTATTCAAAGGATAAGGTGTATCAGCCTTTATTTTATACTGTCCGAAGGTTGAGAGATTGGACAAATAGTGAAATTATTCGATAAGTGAATTGTCTGAACAAGAAGTTGTAGTTCTACATGCCGAATTTAACCCATACGTAATCAACATAATCAATGCTTCCCCTATATGTGATCATAGGTTTGTTACTGTGGAATTAGGACAAGTCGAACTACCAGGAAGATTGGATGTCAACGGTTTATTCAGTGTTTCAGGTCGATGAAAAAGGACTTTCAAAGTTTTTACAGTCGACAAATTTTTATTATTGAAAACGTGAGATCTGTAATTTATAATAATAGTAGCTGATAGATTATTAGGTGAAGGTAACCGAACCAAGCAGATCGATGGACATTAAATGGAAGACTTAAACGATCAGGAAAAAAGAATCAGTACTACAATGGTGCAAAACTTTTAAACAAAATGTGTTAGTGATTGATCTTCAACGTTTCGTTTTCACCGATTGAAAAACACAAACCATATCAAAAGATTCACATCAGAATTTCTCCTCTATGAAAGACTGAAACAGAGACTGATGAACTAGTTCTATTTCTTAATCAGTTTCATTTGATAAAATGGTGTTCACACCAAAATTCACAAACAGTAGTACAATAAGCAGAGAATACAAAATTATCACAATTAATGGAGTATTTGCAATAAAAGCATAGGCAACGGTTGTATGAAATCTGTATACTGTTGAAATTGCTTTGACTTCACAGAACAAAATGATCGAATTTAAACGGTGTAATGAGAAGACAAAGATTATCTGAAATATATCGTGATGTATTAGCGCTATACATTTCGGACAATCTGATCACACACATGGACTTGTCGAACTATTTGATATGAAAGTTTATGAAAAGGGTCAATAAAGTTAAAAGGAAGTATAAGAATAGGAAAGGTAGAGAGTAAAAATAAAATCTTAATCACGTTACTCTTTGTATGAAAAGTAAAATCAATACTACGAAAGGAAGTTTCAACATGAATACAAATTGTTTTTATATACATAAAGGGAGTTTGGATTTACGTAAGGCGAGAGCTTCAATAAATTAAGGCACTCGGCTCTGACCACTTTTATGTAGTACTTTAAAGGCTGTTTTCATGTTTATCTTATGGTTTGTTCCCAGTATATGCTTAACGATAAACGAAGTTGGATGTTTGTCACCTGCACTTATCAGATCTGTTGGGGTCATTTGTTTTTTAAGCTACTTAGGTACACGTTCAACCTTCCATATCACGATAACTCCAGTGGAATGTGGTGTAATCGTTAACATGTAGTTTGTCTTCTCTTCAATGATGACCTTACCTGCATAATGTTTTGCAGATGGTCGATCTAAGTCTTTTCCTCACAACAAAGCTATGTGAATCACTTCTAAATGATAATAAGATGTAGACATTTATCTTAGCAACGGAACACTGTGTACTTTTCAATGATACATAACTTTTGCACCTGTCGATAAATTTCAACGGGTAACCATTCTGTATCGGTGTTGTCGTCAGTAAGTTGGTTTCTTCCTCCTTGATGTCATCGATGCAAATGTGGTTTATCCTGTTGAATAAGCATCTAACTAAACCGCGTTTATATTGGAGTGGTCAACAGCTATGAAAATTAAGGTATTGCCTTGTCCATGTAGGTTTCCTATTGATCGACCTCCTAATTGAGCAATATATCTAGGAACAGTAGCTGGTTGTTCATCTCTTGTTCACAAGTAAGGCTAATGTTAGCCGTGTTCACCTTCTTTAGCAGATGCATCACATCATCAGGCTTTTCACACATGCTGATTATATGATCGACATATCTCTTATAAAGTGAAACCATTCCGATGAGATCGTCAGTTATGTTTTCAACATATGACATGTATACATCTAGCAACGGTCCTAACGGACTACCCATCACGATGCCATCAATCTGTTGAAAGTGTTCTCCCTCAAATGTGAATTCAACTGTATCAGTACACAATCATAATAATAATAACCAGTCTTTTAAAAAATTAAGATGGATAGGGAATATAAGACCGTTAGAAGAAATATAGTCACATAAAATATCAATTATTTTTACCAGAGGTACATTAGTAAATAAAGAATTTACATTGAATGAGTACATAGTCTTATCCTTGATATTAATATCATTTAAACAGTCAATAAGGTGAAATGTATCTTTCAATGAGGACTCACATAAATGGCTTCTGTCGGGACTGAAGAGCTTTTTCAACCATTTAGCTAGATTATGTGTAGATGATCGACATATAGACAATATTGGACGCAGTAGATTATCAGGTTTATGAGTTTTAGATAGCTCATATAGATATGAATGTTCAGATTCCATAGGTTTTAGACAATTAAATTTGTACCGAACATTTTCAAAAGTTTAGAATATACTCTACCTTCCAATTTACGTATTCCTTCACACGGGACATGTGACGTAATTTGTTTTCATCACTGAAATGGATAACATCTTACTTTTATAATCAGATGTTTTCATAGCGATCAAACCCAATCCTTTATCGGGTTTTAATCCAACCATATCAGAGTTATTTCATAATCCTTTCAGTGCTTCGATATACTTACCGTCAAGATGCTTTTCTCTCTTCGACCCCCTTTATGTATACGAAAACAATTTGTATTCATGTTGAAACTTCCTTTCGTAGTATTGATTTTAGTTTTCATACAAAGAGTAACGCGATTAAGATTTTATTTTTTACTCTCTACCTTTCCTATTCTTATACTTCCTTTTAACTTATTGACCCTTTTCATAAACTTTCATATCAAATAGTTCGACAAGTCCATATGTGTGATCAGATTGTCCGAAATGTATAGCGCTAATACATCACAATATGTTTCAGATAATCTTTGTCTTCTCATTACGCTGTTTAAATTTATCAAAGGGACCGGCTGCTTTAAAATGATCGAACATACTATTCAGAGATGAACAAGTCACAGAACTAAGCAAATGCATAGTACCACATTCTTATCATGCAGAATCAGTACGTAGGAAATATCATCGGTTACTAACATTTATAAAAATGACGATTAATTATAATTTAATTGTAATACATAATATATGGAAATGAGATGAGTAGAATAATTATTCAATTAGCTTACTAGCAATTGAGAAACGTCTAGAAGAGTCTGTACAACCATCTTGAACAGTTAAATGATTTGTATCGGAAGCATTTTTCACCGGCTGTTGGAACTAACATAAAATATTGAAACGTGAACTAATTGATAACTTCTAAAAAGTAAGCACTAGTACATGAATACACTAAAACGAATTACATGAGCAATAAATTGAACCTCTATAGATAATAAGAATGTAATCCCATGTGCAAGGTATTTCTATAGTGATTGAACACATCGATTTACATTTCATTTAATGAGGATGTGAACCCTAACCGGATGAGGTATCTTCAACATCTGTTGCATATACCAAGCAACTACCCATCTCACCTTGTGATGCTTCTTGGAGTACGATTAGGTTGAAAGCTAAAGGTAACCAGATTAAAGTATGGTACCGATCCACTAATTATGTTAATACTGCTCTGAGCCATGTTGGTTAAGTTGGAAGGATGATAAACCCTGATTTCACCATCAGAGACAGCCGTAGTTTGGCAGATTAATAGTGATACTGGGTGGTGATTGAAGATGAAATAACAATTTGGACCGCGGCCGGATTTGAACGACCGACCACAGGATTTCCGGCCAGATGCTCTATCGGCTGAGCTGCAAACCCAGTGGCTGCTGGTTCGAATCTGGCTGGGGTTCAGGTTTTTATTTCACCGTCAATTATCACCCTATATATATATATATATATATATATATATATATATATATATATATATATATATATATATATATGATTCGAACGCATTTATTGGCTACCTACTGACCACCGTCGTATTACCTTTGATTGGTTACTTTTTACCAGGATACCCCACTATAATCATTATTATCTTGTTCATACAATTTGCATACCCAACTTTGTCTTTCAACGACCAATCTAGATTAATATTCAGTACATAGACGTATCAGTGTTATTGCTTGTATTACACCGTTGTTGACTGCACCGAATTGATCAGTCTCTGTTGGCATATGGGCTGCTGTGAGGATGCCTCGATATTGCCTGTCTTTCAACTATGTATAGTAATCATGGGCAGTGGCTAACAGTGGAATCCAGGATGCACATTTCGTCCTATTTGGGACACGTCAGCTGGATGTATCTGCCTCCCAGTGAGTGATGTTGTTCCCACCGGGACTCGGACTGGGGAGCGATCGCTTCAAACGTGAGACCGTTATCCACTACACCACCGAACCACGATAGTCACTTCTTGTGCAACGGGTATAGTTTTAGTGTTATTGCTTGTATTACACCATCGTTGATTGGACCGAATTGATCAGTCTCCGTTGGCGAATGGCCTCCTGTGCGCATGCTTCGATATTGCCTGTGTTTTGATTATGTATAGTAATGATGGGTCCCACTGCTAGCCACTTCCCATCATTAATAGACGTATCAGTTAATAGAAATCTCGATATTTCGATACTCTCTATCAGTCGACAGTATTAATTTACAAGCGAAACATCAATTCTTGAAATGATGAAAAGAACTTATATGCTCACACAGAAGATAATTACTGGTTAGGTGTTCTCTGACCTTTGATGTTTTGTCGTGGAAATCTCATTATCCGTTCGTATATGAAATCTAGCAGTATATAGTTAACCAAGCAATGTTTCGGTTATCGCCATCTACATAAAGATCATAGTTACCAAAATTAAAACTCCATACGTTTTACTGAGTATGAACTTTAGTTAAATAAGGTGATCTGCAGTTGTAAAACAAAAACACTCATTGTTAACTTACATAATCCTGGGATTTAGGATGTTTCAACTCTTTGCCAGAATATGCAATTAAAGGCAGACTATCATAGCAAGGTTTGGAAACAGCATCTGTTCGATGAATCATAACTGGTTGAATATTAGAGTAATACTTTAAAATTAACGGTTCTAAACGGTAAGCCTTAAGATGAAATAGAGATAGAATGTACTTTAATATCAGCAGGTTTATATACACATGACTAAACGGAAAAAAAGTTATTTCTAGTAACGCATAACTAAATATTCAAAATAAGTCTTCAAAAAGCCCAATTTCTTCTTCCAAATTTAGTCATGTTTGGCACTAATTAGCAAGGTGTGTCTGTTCAGATAACGATGAATATCTTTCACGAGTTGGTAATATATCCAAATTGGTAATGGGACGGTAACCAAAGTAAATAGCTGCTAAGTCATCAGTTCACATCTAAGTTCATAGATCAAGCATACTTAAATATTACTAAAAAGATGAAAAACTCTAATAAGTTTCACTGCATGTATGACTAATCCCTAAATTAGTGAAAGCAAGGCTTTGAAACTCTAGTTATATCACCTTTAGAACTTGATTGTAAAGACTGTCCATATGCATCTTTATATTTACGAACGGGAAAGACAAGAAGTCTGATTCATCGGTGAACTATCAATACTGCGGTTTTGTAAATAAGCGACTAATTCACTTGGTTTCTTGAATTTGGCTGTTTGTGTGGATTTAGTGACTTTTCAAGTTGGCGTTCATCATGGACCAACATCAGCTGGAGAAACATTGGAAACCCAGGGGAACTGAACAGCTGTTCCATCCCAGCATGGGACTCCTCAGCAGTGTGCACTACCATGACCCCGCCCTGTCAGGGATCGAACCCAAAACCTTCAGGCTCCACGACCATCATGTTACCTTTAACCCACTGTAGTAGGTTAATGTCATCCGTGATAGCGGAGTCTAGTGGTGTTTTGGAGCAACGTATCCTGATCCTGTATATGGAAGAACTTGGTGACTTAACATCGGTTTGTTAGGTGGGTGTTTTCTTGTTTGTTTTTAGATACTTTCAACTTGTATACAAGTGATTTTGTAAGATCATCTTGTGTTCATATGTTTTGCAACAAACATGAATATTATAATTCTTCTACATATCAAGATTTGCTGACTTGTGTTATTTCTGCAGGAAAATATTGCTAGTATGGTGTGGATTATTGCCGGTAAGTCTTTGACTAATTCCATATGATAAATCAAGTATATACACTTTGCCATCGGTAAGAAAAAGACTTACGTAATATGTTTTCATGAAGCGATAATCAGACTATATAGTAAATGCTAGGATTATATTCAACGTAATTCAAGAAATAAAATACCTTGTAATAATAAGCTATATGAAGTCATTTTCAATATCAGGAAGTTGAAATTGTGCTGAGTGGAAATATGACTTCTGTAACATGTGGTCATATAAGAAAATACGAAGGTCACATAAAGAGACTCATAATTATTTAATTTATCTTTCCCGTTTAGGAGAATATTTCTCAGAACTTCTTCCTTAAATAAATCACTTTAACATTGGTTTTCGAAGTATTCATATATTCTGATATACTGACTACCTTACTTTAACCATAATAGAGATTGTTTCACAGTGCTGGGCATCAACACCCCCAGCATAATAATGTAAACTGAAGATGCCTAAACGATACGATTTTTCAAAAATGTTAACGATAATGTGCAAATCTCTAGAATGTTTGTCATCTGACAAATAATTTGTCACTTTGGGACTGATATAAACCAATGACTCGTTTACCATCAGGTAACGAATTTGTTTAGTGCATTGACTGCCCACCTATGGAGCTGTATTAATCTCAGTGCACTCACTTATTATCGTCATGCAATCTGATACTGTTGTATTAGTGAGACCTCATAACAGAAATAAATCATTATTGGCTTCGCTAACAGTTAGAACTTACAGAAGAAGTATCCGAATGATAACAGTCAAGTTTCTGGCGTAACAAGAATTTCTGTCTCGCTATAGTGTTGTTAAATGTAACCATTAAAAATCGAGCACTTCTTAAGTCTTTAAATATTTGATCACTTGTCTCTGCAGCATTATTCTCATATGATACGTCCGCCGTATGAGGAATTCAAATGTCAAGCATTAAGTACTACTGAAGGTGGATAACTCAGTTGGTTTGAATCTGAATAGCTTCTGAATTGATCAGTGCATGTTAGTGCAATCCTACAAGTTTCGAACAGTATGAAGATCGATAGCAGCTCAAATGTCGACTGACACAGCGTCTATGAAGTAAGGATCAAGGAGATTAAAAAGGCCGCATCGATGGCCCAATGGTAACGTATAGGCCACGGAACCTGGAGGTCGTAGGTTCGATCCCAGAGGGGAAGGGTCATGGGTGCTCACTGCTGAGGAGTCTCATACTAGGACGAAACGACTGTCTAGTGTTCCCAGGTTTCCAATATTCTTTCAACTTATGTCAGTCAATGATGACTATTAACTTGAAAAACACGATTTCTCTGGTGAATACGAAAAATACGTAAATAAATAATGTAACTGAACCCGTTTCATGTTCGTGTACTAGGCTATGAGCCACGCTTGTTGTCTCAGAGCTTATAACACTACCTGGCTACCAGAACTGAGATAGGTAGAACAGGGCTGTGGACCTTCATCGACTGAGATGGTTTGAATATGTGTTGAGCATGCTCAGCCACCGCCTACCTTAACATTAGATTACGTTTGAAGAGGGTTCAGGGTAATCAGAGTAAGATCAGTTGATGAAGTCTCTTACTGTTGGTCTGACAGAGGGGATGAAGATACTCAACCAACAACAACAAGCACCAATCACAATCAACGGGAGAATTTAAACGAAGTTGCCTCTCTCACCTACTTAGAGAACGCAGCATCACATCGTTTCAACTACAGACCGAACTGGCACACATAAGGGTATCCAAGCCAGCCAGGATCGGAAAGACAGCAAGACAGGCCCTCATTAACATGAAATCAATCAGTGTGGAGATCTACTGCACTACACTGCACTACACTCTGCATAAAGCGTGAACAATATCCGGATTTTCAACACCAAGTCAGTCAAGTAAGTCAGTGCTTCTATGTGATGGTTGACAGACTTGGAGAGTCACGAAAAGCATTTCCAACTAACTACAGACATACATGAACATCTGCCACCCACGCTCTCTCGGTACTGAAGATCAGCTGGACAGAATAATAAGAATAAGCAACAAGAAACTCACTCTGGTCTGGCAACCAACCGAGGTTGAGAAGACTGGAGAGAAGAGAGTGAAATGGCGACGTGCTACTGAAGCTCTATGTTCCACTAGGAGCTCAAGAGACTAATAATAGTAATCTTGAGCAGAACACATTCTATATTTGAAAAGACTATAGCTGTAGACTTCAAATTTGCTGTGCACATATAAGTGCTGCAATCTAAAACAGGAAGTTACTTACAACAGGATCTGCTGGATGGTATATGTTGAAAATCCGAGGGCAAATTTTGCGGGGAAGTATTGTATCCTGGGTTTGGAAAGGACCAGGACGGATACCACGTAAAACTAAGTACACTCCCAAAGGTGAACCAAGACAGAAAAAGTTTTCAAGCTATATGCAAATGAAAAAAAAGAAGGTAGATTATCAAATGTGAGAAAATTTAATAATAATTTATGAACAATGACAAAATCCTGCAAGTTTTAACATGAAATGATGCAGCAAAATAGATATATTACTTCAGTCAACACTCTGGAAGATTCACTAGATATGCAAAGACCTTTCCTATATGTGATTCATGATAATAATTTACAGTTGGTGATGATCAAAAGTAATCCTAGGCAAACAAAACATCGGAACATGTGCTCTGTACTTTCTAGCATTTCCTAGCATGAATTTATTACTGCCTCTACCGAAGGTAGATAAGCTAACAAAGTCAAGAAGGTTGATAATGATCTGACGGAACTTGAATGCTGACAGAGTTGTGAGGTTAGTTGATGGAAGGTAACTCCTTCTTCTTGAAATACCTGAAAGAGAAAATGGATTTTTTCTGCATGATCCCAGGGCCTAAGAGACATTTGTTTGAGATCGGTCACAAACAGCTTTTTAAGGTTGTTGGACTGAGAATTGACTGAGCTAACACCGAAGAAAAATGTCACAGATCGCCATTATCAGAATACCGTAAGGTGTGCCGTTATCGAGGCTGACCTACTCTAACCTCCCACTGGCGCTGCTGGCCATCCAAAAGAAACACACCATACTGCTGTGACACACCTAGCCAACAACAATACGATTTTACCCTTGAACTCCCACTATAACGAAGCTATTTACACTATGACGGTTAGTGCTTTTTGTCTTGCCAACCAACAAACCGTTCTGGAATGGTAAGAAATCAAACAACAAATATTTCCAACAGCACAGTTGGATAGTTCATTATGATATGAAAGCCTGTCCAACACATCAAAGCAGCAACTATTGTTCAATAAACAGACAGATAAATAAATTATAACAAGACATGTAAGCGAACAATATTGTTTTCACATCAAGCTTCACTCTAATCTACATAACTTTCAAAATATTTGTAAAATACAACCAATCAAAAGCTAAGGAAGATTGAAAACCTAGTTATGACTAAACTAGACAAGGGAGAAGGCATAGTGTTTTAGACAAGAGCAATTATGTAGACAAAATGAATTCCTTCCTGAGCAATCAAATCAAGCTTTAGAAGCTCATTGATTTTAGAGATATGAATCCGAGAGGAGAAAAGCACTTGACTAACTGTCTTAAAGAACTGAAGCAAACAGGTGTCATCTCATCAGCGATGCATGGATTACTGAAGGCCACAGGATGTTGCATACCATGGGTTTTATGGTCTGACTAAAATCTAGAAACCAAAATTTCCCCTTCGTCTAGTCTTAAATATGTACAATTCACCAACTCATAAAATCGCAAAATGGTTGGTCCACATTCTAGGGCCCCTTCACAATCTAGTTGTAAAACATAGTGTAAGGTATGTTTTCGATTTCACCTCCAAGGTGACAGAGGTAAGTGTGAGTGGAAAACGTATGGTATCGTTAGATGTGTCGTGATTATTCAATAACGTACCGTTCACTGAGATAATTGATTTCATACGTCAATAATTGATAAAGAATTCAACATTGGAATTTCTGAGTCCAACCTTAAGAAATTACTTCTTAGATGTACATTGAATGCACACCTTATCTTCAATGATGCGTGTTATAGACAAGTAGATGAAATTGCAATGGGATCGACATTAGGCCCAATCCTTGCAGACTTTTTCTCTGACTAAGCTAGAGAATGGAACATTGAAGGATGACATCGGCAAGCTACATATGTATTACAGATACGTGAATGACACATTTATTATAATTGATCAGGATACAGATTGGAACGAATTATTCAGAAAGTTTAACAGCATCCACCCGTCACTTGTGAAGAAGAACACGACAGTAGGCTAAATTTCTTTGATGTTCTATTGAGCAGACGAGGAGATGAATCACTGCACAGAAGCGTGTATAAAAGAAACAAATTTGAATGTCAATAAACACACTTCCTTAGTTTCACTGCTATACGATACAAAAGAAACTTAGTGAAATGCTTGACAGCCAGGACAAGGAAAATCTGCTCAGATGATACCACACAGAGTGAGTTAGAGTGGATTTCGAATTCATTGATGGAAATAGGTTATTCTCACAATTTTATAAAAAGTTTATGAATAGATCGTTTTCTAGTCAAAGATTTGCTTTGTGTCAAACAAAGGACAAGTAGTTACCTAGTTTTGCCACCTCCATGTGTATTTACCAGTTTAATTACTCCTGTGGAGACAGTTATATCGGGCGTACGACTAGGCAACTTAACCAATGTGTTGCAGAACAATCCAAAGCTCTGTACAGCCTTTATCCCTGCCTTGGCGAGGGAGAACTTAATGAATGACCTTACTTATGAATCTTAAAATGTACTCCTACTTTTTATTTCATTTCATTTCGTCACCCCTTTCACACTACTACTATATTCACATTCAACTCACCGTCTTCAACCTCCAGTATCATACAACCTTACTGTCCTTTTTTGTTTTTCAATCTTTGACTTACATTGTCTGTCTATCTATCTATCTATCGTGTTATTATGAACATTCGCATTATAAGTGTAAAACTTGGGCACTGTGGTAGAATGTAATTCCACATTAGATTTGTTTATTTGATATATAGCGCACAGTGATACAGTATTATTTACTTGATTACGTTTCGAGCATGAATTATTGCTCATAATCAACATTCGCATTAATTTATTCACAATCCGTATTCCTTGTTGTTTTTATCCCACAAATTACCTTGATTAGTCGATATTTCACAAATATTTTGAAAGTTAGGTATATTAGAGTGAAGCTTGATGTGATCTAATTAAAACAATATTGTTCGCTGACATGTTTTGTTATAATTTTCATAATGGGAATTTTTAGCACTCAGATAAATAAATTACCACAGAACCCGGTAGAGAAGTTCACTAGTTCATATTGCTATACTTCACAAAAGCATGTAGAGTAGAAGTGACATTAATGTAGGGAAAAGTATAAGACTTGAAAGTATAAACAGACGTAGGATGAACAAAATATCAAAGACTTCGAAGATGATAAACAGTGTATAGAATTGCGTAATAGTGACCGATTTCAAGCCATTTCGTAACGAGTCTTCAACCACTAATTTCTATTTTCTCTAAAATACTACTGCGACAAATTAAAACTGATCAGTCAATCAATATCAGTATAGGACTAGGTATTACTGCGTACAGATTCAACGTTTCGGCTTGTGATGTCAACTCATTGCCGAGACCATGTTGCCGTTCCAAATTTTAACACTCACCTTCCAGTTTACATTAGTAGTACTGATAGAATTACTATAATGTCACTTTTCGTTTTCAAGTTGTTATTCATCGTAGACTGACATCAGTCGGAGGAAAAAAGGAAACCTGGGAGCACTGAACAGCTGTTTCGTCCGACTAGTATAGGACTCCCCAGCAGTGCGCACCCACGACCCCGCCCCACCAGGGATCGAACCCGCAACCTTCAGGTTCCATGGCCAGCACGTTACCATTGAACTACTGGATCACAATCCAATGGTCCACATTTCCAACTTCTGTTAGCTCACGATATAGCGCTTTTCGTTTTGTTGATATAATATGAAGTTGGGGGAGACACACAGACAGATAAAATCAACATGTAGAACCAATATGAGGTTACCAAGATGACTCCAATGAACAGGTTTGTTTTGGCGAGATATTATTCTCAAAAGCTACACAACACCATCCAAATAGGATTCGTGTGGACAATCAGTGGTAGAAATATCAACATGGGTTACAGAATAATATTTCTTAGTAGGTTGTGGTAGGGAAAATAATATAAGGCTAAAAACTATGTAAGTATTATAATACTTCACAGTACATATCAGTAACTTCGATAAAAATGTGAGTTGACGGCAAGAAGTGAAGAATACGTAAACAGAAGGAAAGTTTCAGTAGTAAATGGTATCCTACACTTCGGATAACATAACGTAACAGGTATACATCACGATAACTTAACATGCACAATATACCGCAGCCAAGTCAATGGGTGAAGAGTTTTACGTCCTCACCATCTGACTATCCATTTACCTCAGAAATCTCAGGTTAACCTCAACACTTCTTACATGATGGTTGCATGACATACAGTCGGTGCTATGAAGCCAAAAACATAGTTGAACCTATAAAGCCTTCTTCTTTCTGCCCAATTGTAATAATCACGTTTCCCAAACACAAAGTAGTCCAAAGAGAATAGGTGAGCAGTATTCGGATTTTTAATCGGTAATAAAACCCATTTAAGTTGGTAAAATTTAATCAAGCCTTTTGTGACCGAGGCAGTATTTTGTCAGTGGCCAACCTATCATCCGGCTAATTCTGATTCCTGGGGAAAATAAAGCGATTGATGCTTTAAACTATCAGGGATTAAGTTGATGCAGAACAATAGTGAAGCAAGGGTTTGCCTTTGTAAGACAGCAAAATGTGCTGGATGAAAGCTACTTTCGAAAATAAATACAACTGTAGGTAAAATTACACTCATAACGATGAAAACAATGAATTAATGGACATAAAAAGCGCGGAAGCTCTTTTTCCGATGCATGAAGGCCAAAAGTGAAGGTGCTGAAGGATGCTCTATCTAGTGATAATCGAAATAGAACAACCAACACACATAACAATGAGTGAAGACCTAGTATAACGTTCTAAAGCGTAACACGTGAGAAGCCATTAGAACGAGGAAAAAAAAATACGGTAACAAATCGAATTCATGACTTTAAAATTAAATTAGGTAAAGATTAAATTTCAAAGCGAAAAGGTAAAACACAGGATAAAGAGTGAATTGAAACGTTATTCAATGAGAAAACAGTGCTAAAAGTATGTTAAAACTCACGTTATTTGCAAACAGTAAAGTATTTGGCTGAGATAAAGAAGAGTTGATGCAAGGCATTGAAGTATCTGAAGCTGACTGATTGTCAATATTTGATTTATGCAAACTATTTGACATAGGATGTTCATCAGCTACTATCAAACTGTTCAATTCTTGTTCTAAATTATTCACGCTAAATAATTGTCAAAGAAAGAATCAGAGTTAAGGCGTTTCAATAGTTCAATTGATCTATCACTGAATACAAATGGTTATTGATAAGGTGTTGTAGGGGGGGGGGGGGGGGGGGCAGGGTATTGACTTATTTTTGATTCCTTTTTTAACCTATCGAAAATTTCTCATATTTCAAGTGTTTCTTCAACTGTATAAATAAATTTTAAATTAAAAAAAAGTAGTTCGGACTAAAGAAATTTAATGATAAAACAAACCTGTAACACTATGATAGCAGACAACATATACACAAGCAGTAGGATTGTATACCATATGTTCAAATGGCAATATGTCGATATTTTTGTAATACCCATTAACCAAGTGCATTTCTAATCACTAGGCGATGAAATACATCTCTTATATAAAGGCTTAAAGACACCATCTATATGTTCATCCCATGATAGATGAAGCATCATTTGAACTCGTGATCCATTGACTAGACCAATGAACTAAAGGTTACAGCATTTTTTAGAAATCTGTATGAAAAGTTACACGTGTTATAACTATACTAAACTGATGCTTTGTACAGACGAGATATCTAGTGAATAATATCATATCACTGTGTACTACTACAGCAACAGACAATAATAACTGGCAGACTGAATACAATGTTGCTTTTATGTCGAATGGGCCTAAGGTATCTCAAAAGTGTAAACAGAGTGTAGTGGTATTAAATTGATTGGAATTTTTCTGAAAGGATTAAATATTCCCTGCTAGCTAAATAAAAGATTTTCACTACGAAAAGACGAACTGAACAATTTACACAATAAAACATGTTTACACGTTAAACTAAATTTCAATTTTTTGTTAAATTCTTGTTAATTATTTTGGCAACAGTTTTAAATCCATCCAGATCAACCTAGGACCAGGCATTACTGTGTAACGGTCCAAGTTGCAACACCTCATATCAGTACATCAAGTAAAAAGACAGTGAGGTGCAAGATAAAGATAGGAAAGTTCAGCCAAAAGAAATATAAAGTACGAGAAGAAAGGAAGGAGGAACGACAAAATGGTGAGATTCGGTATAGCGTTGTTAAGATGAGGATAATGTGTGTATACATCTGCGCCACTGACATCGGTTCTGAGCCATATCACCTAGAGTCTCCAACCACTGGTTTCTCTTGTCCCGCCGACCCCAAGCACCTAGTCTGCATCGCCCCCTACATGGCTTAAACCAATAGTCAGAAACTCCATACATTGGTGCCATGTTTTAGTCTGGCCACCTCGGGCCTTTTTCCAGCCTGGACCCACCTCAGCCAACATTGTGTGACGAGGCAATCGGTGACTAGGCATACGTAGTACGTGTCCCAACCATCTCAGTCGATGAAGGTTCATAACCTCGTCAACTGACTTACCTCTTCTCCCCAAAACTCTACACCTGACTTCTGCATTACTCACATGGTGACACCACGGAATACGTCCTATACTACGAAGGCAACGGTGGTCAAACACCTGAAGCCTTTTTATATCTTCCACTTTCAATGGCCATGTTTCATAGCCATAGAGTAGAAGAGAGTGGACTGCTGTGCTGCAGTACGCGACCCTTAATAGACAAACGGATATCACAGTGGCACCATAGGTGGCGTAAATTTGCAAAAGCCAACCGAGAACAGTTTTAAACACGACATGAATAAGGGAAAATTATACCGGCTTACTTGAATACACCTATAAACAGCAATAGAGAAGTGTCTATTGTTTACATGCTAACCATATGGAAGCTTATTTATCAGAATCCTAGTTGCATACTGTCGATCAATTCTTTATAAACTGTGTAATAATTAAATGAAACTAAGATGAGATTAGTAAAGAAATGAGCACTGAAACATTCACCTTTCATTTCTATGGATTAAAGTCAACTTTAATGCTTGTATAGGCATAAAATTCGTGAGACACATTAAAAGTATCTAAGTTATCTATGAAGTCAGTAGATAACTTACAGAGTTCTTGCAGCATCCAACTGAAAACTGACGCGAGTAATTTGTTCCAAATTACCTGAAGTTGATATCATATCGGCTCTACAATCGTGATATACCTCTTCATCAGTGTTATTTGTTGATACATGCTAAGGAGTCGTATAAGAGATACAACAAATGATTTAATTTCAACAAAACTTCAAATTAGAAATCATTATTTCATTTAGTTATCCAACAGCTACTGAAACATTTAACTAGAAACAAAAAAACCTCACCGAAGTGTTAAGTAAACAATGTAGTAGAAAGGAAAATCAGTAAAGGTACAGAAATATATCAGTATAGATGGTTCAGACAAGTTATCTCTAACTGAAAACTTGACTACGTACTTAAATTCAATAAATATAACATCGAAGTAGCATGCAAATTCATTTATTGTTTCGAATAGATGGGAAATTGTCACCGATAAAGATGAAGTCAAATAGGTTGTGCACTGATATGCTTAAAAGTAGTAGAACTCGATGGAAGGCAACTATGTAATCCAGTTTACATTATTAAGCCATGAGTCATACTATATATATATATATATATATATATGAAGACATATGATACAACCTACTTTTTACATCATGAAGTCTGTGAAGCTGAGAATGATGAAATTCCAGTACCTAAACTGATGAATCAATCATCTGCATATGCATAAAGTCTCTAATTATGTGCTTTACAGTTGCAATATAAGTGAGTCTTGATAAAATTGTCATATGATAATCGTTTATTGCCCAAAATTTTACCATACAAAAGGATTCTCTAGGCACCTGACCTTAGAAGACAAGATGTCTGTATAGTAATTACTTATTATTCAGTGATACAAAATGCTTATTCAGAATAAAATGTGACATACAAAATAAATATGGTTAACAGTTACATTTCGTATTACGAATACTGATGTGAAAGTGGTTGAGGTCAACAAAACGATCTATCAGCTTAGGCATAGATTAATTGACATGTACGATCTTCGTAGAATAAGACCAAGTGAAGCTTGAGAACCATAAGATATGCTACTAATTTCACCAAAACCGCTATCCTGTAAACAGCCAATTGTTTATATAAACCAAGAAGTTCCCTTCAATCCGTATTATACAGACCAAGGGATGCAACCGCCAAAGAAGACAAACCAAATATCATTTACAAAATCAATTGCAACAATGATGATCAGCAGTATATTGGACAAAGTAGTCACTCTCTTCACCTTCGTTTACATCAATACCGATTGGCTATTAAACGTCACGACATTTCGTCACTTATATCAATGCACATAGATAACTATGAACATAAATGCAACTTTGAAAATGTAGAGATGTTGGGTAGAGGAAACACAAAGAACATCAGAGTTAGGCATTCACGTCAATCAGTAATCAACAGTTATGTAGAAGAAAAATTGTAGACAACTAAAAAGTTAAGATATAGGGTAAATGACACGAAAAATTATCCAGTCAATGACACAACAATCAAAGGAAACAACCAATGACAAATTACTTCATCAAAGCAGACTAGTAAACCATTCAATTCATATTGAAGTTAGTGTTGATGATGTTGTCCAGGAAGAGAATGAAAGCTTCACGATTAAATCACCCAGAGTCGAGAACGGAAAACAACCAAGATCATTTCATCTGAGCTTCTTTTACTGCAGATTTGCACATAGTTATGTAAGACAGTTCTTTGAGAACCCACATTTTATTTTGGTTCACAATGAATCAGTTAACCGAAGTTAACTAATATAGACAGTCAATCTATTTAACTAACTTGAAAGTGATATTCTGTAGCTTTCATAAACACTTTTAGGTTGTTACTAAGCTCTCGTTAACAGGATGTACTATCATTTGTTAACGTGACCACCACCTGAGATCAGTTTACCAAGACGTGAAACAAGGACAGCATAATCTCTGTAGATACATCTATATAGAAATTGAGAGTAAACATTCTTGATAATTACCACTAGATGTATAGGTTTCACGAGATACCTCACCGAAGGCTCTAACACAAACATAGATGTCCCATCAGTCTTTAGTACAACTGTCCAAGAAAATTATCTCAAAGAGGGATACTGAAATGAGGCCCTTTAATAACAGCCAAATATCACTTTCAGGTCGAAAAATACCGATAGTATTAAGTGTAAGTATGCCTATCTTGCAGGAAGTGACAAAGCGTGGAGATCTGGTCGATGCACCGACGACCAAGTTGGGAATCCATCTAGTTGTCTGGAATTTGATGTTCCCTAGATTCAGACGACCGAAGAACCTATGGTGGTCCGGCTGTAGTTAAACTAAGAGGATTTCTATTCTTTCTTGAAGAGCAAAGCAATCAGCAATTGACACTCGTCATGAAGTATGATATCTGATTGAGAAAATGTACATACATTCATACAGTAGGCAATAAGCCACACCTGTTGTGTGAGGGCTAATGATATACTACTTGGTTGTCCAAAACTTCGCAGATGGAGCAGGGTTTAAACCCGTAACTTAATCCATGAAAGTCGAGGTTTACACCAGTTAGTAACAGTTCTGACGATATCTAATGCCCATAAACAAGTTGACACGTCATTCAATCTTATTGGTAATTCTACACCATTGTTCCTAATCACCTCCGTTATAACCCACTTCCCTTATCTTCTTCTTCTCAACAAACACATCCTCATCACAAAATAACTTCAATCCTTCACTGCCACAAGTGAACCTCACCACCTACAGACAAAATCAACTCATCTAATTAACAGTAAGTCATAAGGAAAATAAGACTTCATTGTCAAGATTCGTAATTAAAGTCACTCACGAGAATTTACAATCATTAAGTTTAAATAAAGCACAAACTCGAAGACCTAAAGGCAAAAACTAACAAGTTGACAGAAGAGGCGAGGCAGTGAACACGGAACTTCCTTCACGTGAACGTAGACAAGACACAGGGGATGAAGATACTCAACCAACAACAACAAGCACCAATCACAATCAACGGGAGAAATTTAAACAAAGTTGCCTCTCTCACCTACTTAGAGAACGCAGCATCACATCGTTTCAACTACAGACCGAACTGGCACACATAAGGGTATCCAAGCCAGCCAGGATCGGAAAGACAGCAAGACAGGCCCTCATTAACATGAAATCAATCAGTGTGGAGATCTACTGCACTTCACTACACTCTGCATAAAGCGTGAACAATATCCGGATTTTCAACACCAAGTCAGTCAAGTAAGTCAGTGCTTCTATGTGATGGTTGACAGACTTGGAGAGTCACGAAAAGCATTTCCAACTAACTACAGACATACATGAACATCTGCCACCCACGCTCTCTCGGTACTGAAGATCAGCTGGACAGAATAATAAGAATAAGCAACAAGGAACTCACTCTGGTCTGGCAACCAACCGAGGTTGAGAAGACTGGAGAGAAGAGAGTGAAATGGCGACGTGCTACTGAAGCTCTATGTTCCACTAGGAGCCCAAGAGACTAATAATAATAAAGTTTAAGTAAAGTTATGATGCTCTCTAAAAGTGGTTATTGAGAGTCAAGTAACCTTGTAACCTATTGAATACATAATAATGAAATAAGGAAATCCTAGCATGATAACAATTTCCTAGACATAAAACTCTTACTTTCGTAAGCCACTAGCAATGTGATGCATACAGAAAAATTGAAAAATATAATATCTCACCTTATCTACATTTTCTGATGATTTCGAAGAATCTGTATTGAAAGATATATTTCTTCCATGAGTTGATTTATCTAAAAGTATTTCAGTGAGTTGATCATTATCGAGAAGTTGATTCCAACCGGTAATCAAGTCATAAATTAGAACACATCCAAGTGAATGAGCGATAATAGAAACTTTTCCACCACGAGATTCAAAGTCTGGATTCAGTCGACGAAACATATCATATAACCGATTGAGTTCACTCTTTAAACTAGATATAATTTCTGTACGATATAGAGGACTTGTATAATACATAATATCCATGGCAGAACTGTTCAAAACTGTACGGAGACCTTGAACATGAACAGGCGTGATTGATTCAACTGTGTCACCATCTAACTGTAAGGAAGTTCGCCATTCAATAGGTAAAAACTCTACACGCTTATTTTGTTCATCCAGATGAGGGAAAAATCGAGCTTTTATTTTTTCGCAAGTAACCCTAAGTCTTTGTATAAATGATTAGCAAGAAAGGTATATATAGATGAATTAAAATATAAACCTTCCATCATACAACAAAAATGTTCCATTCAAATCTAAGAATAATAACAACTGGTGAAATAGTGATCTTTAACACGAAAAGGAAATGAAATCCAACCTGATAAAAAACAAAATAAAATACTTTTGGTACTAAGTAATGATTGAAGGTGAAATGAAAATTTGGGCTACAGCGGGATTCGAACCAGCGACCAACCGGTTCCCATCTCGGTGCTTTACTAACTGAGCTATGAGATCATTGGTTCGGATCCAACCGCCACCCAAATTTTCGTTTTACCTTTAATTATCACCCAGTATCAATATTAGTCTGCAAAACACAACTATCCCACATAGTCAAAATGATAAAAAGGTTTGTCACAAAACCTATTGGTAAAATGAGAAACAAGGATTCAAGCACATGGATTCCTGGAATTTCTCAACTCAACATATCTAAGACACCAGTGTATCCTGAATTAAAAAGCTGTCAACCCCCATGAAGAAGTTTAGCTCAATAATACTGATGAGTAACCTAATGAACCATAGAGGTATGAGGTTAAATAGCAACGAGGCGTTAGCTTAGGAAATAGTATAAATCATACAAATACCAGAATTTCACCACTTTACTGATAAATGTATACACCAGTTACATTTCCGGCCGATAGCTGCTACCTTGACATGGTGGTTGGGTAAGCACTCCACAATGACCAAACGAGCTACACTGGCTGGAACGCTTGTTACCTCGACATCCTGTCATGTCAGATAGGTCCATTGGATAACGGCAAGACGAAAAGCAGTTATTGTTGCAGTGTAAATTACTACACTATGGTGGGGTTCTGAGGGCGAAGTCATACTGCTGCTAACTGGATGGATTTGATAGCAGTGAGGTGTTTCCTTTGAATAAACGGTAGTGCCACGTTGATGCTACTTTCTCAACTGAAGCGGGGGATAGAAAAGGTCAGCCCCAAAAATGACACAATCTACCATGCCTCACGGTCTCCCGGTGCCCGCAGTATGGGTTCTCTCCACCCGGTGTTACAACAACCAAACCTCGAAACAACAACCCGCAAAAGACAGTGTGTAACAGGCCTTAAGCAGATGTCCCATGGGATTTGTGGTCACACAAATCCTTTTCCCTTTTAGGTACCTGAATAATAAATAGCCTTCTACGGTATGGACAGCCAGAAAGTGTCAACCTGCCACACCCTTTCAGTAGTACACAAGACCTAATCAAACATAACCATCCCCTCTAAACTTTGTTTCCTCCTTTGCTCTCACCTTGTGATACTAATATTAAGCCTCTTACTCCTCCTACAACCTCTCACTCTGTAAACACTGCCAACAATCAAAGCCATCGAAACCTCATTCCTAGTCTCCTAAAACGCTGCCATCGATTTCATGTAAGAGCTTACAAAGTCAGAACTCCATGTCAAACACGACAGCAAACACTGCTCGCCAAAATTCTTGAATCTCTAGCCATGAATGCATAGTGTGTCTCTGAGACAAGTATACAGGATCCGAGTGTGGTTATTAAACTGACCGTATCTGAACAGTGCAGTGAATCTTCAAAACAGACCTTAAGAGTATTTGGAGACCTGGTGGCTAGCTCTTGTGGACTCGCAGGTGTAGGCATAGCACTGAGCTGTTCGGTAGAAAGTTCGCTTCTCGACTGGATACCAGTAAACAACCGTCTGTATACTGTTCGACCGGACGAATCCGTAAGAACTAGTAAGGACCACGAGACCAAACGATGCATATTCACAATCTTCCCACATGCACCCAACAACTGCAGTTCGGATGATGCAAAGGATGAATTCTATAAGAAGCTGTCAACCTTGCTACAGAAACCTGCACGTTCCGATACTCATAATGGCAGGTGAGTTTGACGCTTAAGTAAGGAACCTGGGACCAACAAAAAAGCATCTGGGAGGAATTCACGGAATCCCATCCCAACAAATCGACAACGGAAATCTTCTGCTTTAGATATATAGTGACGTTCACAAAGACACTGTCTCACATAGCATCTACTGACTTCAAACCAACGATGGATACAGATAGGTCACATTACTAGTAGCCATCGCTAGAGGATTGTACATCTTTCTGGCATTCGATTCTGCAGACCGTGAGATGCCGTGGCAGTTCCTGACTATGAAAGGAGTACTGAGCAAATATATTTTTGTTTATCGGAGCTCTCTACTCGAACTCACGCAGCTGTCTTAGGGCTTATGGAGAGATGTCAAGTGGGTTAACGACAACTAGTGGTGTTCGCCAGAGATGCCCACTGCTACCTTTTCTATTCAACTTCGTCGTAGACGTACTAATCGACATAAGCTTAGGTCTGTGTGTGTTCACAGGGATTGACCTACTCTTTGGAGGGTAACTGGTTAACTTGAAATATCCAGACGATATTGTCCTGCTAGGTGAATACGCAAACAAAACATAGGGTCTTCTAAATGCGTTGAGTAGAAACCTGAATACGTTTGATATGCGTTTAACTGAAACCTGTTGAATGTAGGATGATGCTGCAGAACTGCTTTGCAACCACTCCCAGAGAAGTGGTGGAATGCTGAACCACTTCACTTACTCGGGAAGCTGCATCAGCACGAAATCTCAGCTCGGATACAGATACAATAGATCCTATTTAATAGGCACTTTACTAGACCTCACTAGTATTGGATTACATAAAAACTGAAAATTCAGATGTTGCCCTACTACGTAGGCTTTCTGTAAACGGACTGTCATATTGAACTATCTTCTCGTCGACCCAGGAGTACGTTTAAGAATGGCAGACGTATATCAGACACAACGGATGAAGTTATCGAAATACTGGTCAAAACACTTTTATTACCATTATCATTATTATTTGTTCTTTGGGTTCCTAGTGGAACATAGAGCTTCACTAGCACGTCGCTATTTCACTCTCTTCTCTCCAGTCTTCTCAACCTGACTCCACAACCGCCCATGACCTTTCATCTCTTCCTCACACCATCTCCTCCATGTCACTCTCGACTCGGACGCCCAACTCAACGTTTCCCATTTGGGTTCCACTCAGTGGTCTGGCCTGGCACGTGATTTCCCCAACCGGTCTTCTCAGTGTATGTCCAATCCAATCCATCTCGAATTTCTTCTTCTGCATGTTTTTCGGGCGATAGGTTGGTTTCTGGTTGCTTGGTTGCCAGACCAGAGTGAGTTTCTTGTTGCTTATTCTTATTATTCTGTCCAGCTGATCTTCAGTACCGAGAGAGCGTGGGTGGCAGATGTTCATGTATGTCTGTAGTTAGTTGGAAATGCTTTTCGTGACTCTCCAAGTCTGTCAACCATCACATAGAAGCACTGACTTACTTGACTGACTTGGTGTTGAAAATCCGGATATTGTTCACGCTTTATGCAGAGTGTAGTGAAGTGCAGTAGATCTCCACACTGATTGATTTCATGTTAATGAGGGCCTGTCTTGCTGTCTTTCGATCCTGGCTGGCTTTGATATCCTTATGTGTGCCTGTGCAGCTTGTAATTGAAACGATCGGTGGTTGTTCTTGTTGTTGGTTGGGTACTTTCATCACCCTCGTCTTCTCTATGTTCATGTGAAGGAAGTTCCGTTTCGCTGCCTCTTCTGTCAACTTGTTAGTTTTCGCCTGTAGATATTCGAGTTTGTGTGACAAGACATTAGACATAAATCATCATTGGAGAAATACAAATCTTCTGTAGTCTTTTCATCGGTCCAGCTAGCGTATCTTCATCTTTTCGCTCCTCACATTTCGTTGCATGATGCAATCCAGTTCACCACAATCAGCAGGATGATCGGTGATAGTGGGCAGTAGCCCTGTATTGTCTTACTCCCGTCTTCACTTCAAACACATCACTCAGTTTTCCATTGTAAATCATGTAGCATCATATAGCGTATAGCTGTCGAATGAGGTTGATACAGGTTTGTGGCACTGAAACAGTAGTGTTGAAGCAGCTGCCCACTAAATTGCTTCTTTGTCGACGCCTCGTCCGAATGCCTTTTCAAAACTGATTAGGGTGAGGTACAGGTACAGTGGATTGCTATTTTATACTCTGTTCTACGATGATGCGCAGCGTTGCAATTTGATCCGCACATGATTTGTACTTCCTGAAGCCATCTAGCCTGTTCCAGTTGTAATTTTGAATCCAGGGCATTGTTTAGTCTCTCCAGGATGATGCGGCTTAATATTTTGCTTGGGTTGGACAGGAGCATGATTCCGCGCCAGCTCTTCCAAAGAATTAGGTGTCCCTTCTTTTGAAGTTTGACAAGATAGTCCTTCTTCCAATCAATCAGAAGATAGCTTTCCTTCCATCCAAACCTTGTATATTAGTGGTGTGAGCATGTCCTCCGTTGTCTCTGTGTCTGTTTTCAGTGCTTCTAGAGGAATTCCATCTGGTCCTGCTGCTTCCCCGGATTTCAGCAACTTTATGGCTTTCACGACTTCGGCTTTTGTCAGACGGCTTGTGTTCACTGTTAATTCTGCGGTTGCTGGTGGTATTTCTGGACGAGTTGCAGGTGGTGGTCGATTTAAGAGTTTTTTGAAGTGGTCAGTCCACTGCCTACTTTGTTTCTCCTCGTTGCTAACTACGTTCCTTCACTAACTTTCATTGGTTACGTCTGTGTTGATCTCTTCCTAGTGTTGTCACGTCTCTGTCTCTCCTACTTACAGCCTGTCCTACTTCACTTGCAAGCGTGTCTCAGAAGTGTCTTTTGTCTTTGCACACACTCTTCTTCACTTCTTTGTCCATTGTTTTATAGGTTGTGTTCAGTTCCTCTTTTCGTTGTTCACCCATGCACTGCACTGCTGCATCTGCTTCACCATCTACAGCTCCCCACTCTATCAGCTTCCATGTGTCCGTCGAGATCCATTCCTTGTCTTGTTTCCTCTTCCCTCCTAATACGGTTATGCAGGTTTCTTTCCACGTAGCTTTCAAAGACTTCCAGTGTTCTTCCAAGCAGGTTACTTCAGG